CACCATCCCAAATATTGGGGAGCTGGTTAATTTTTATAGGTCTCTTTTTGTACCTTGCATTTAAAGTTTAATTTTGACTAGCAAGATAAAACATTTGGGAAAAAGAAAAAAGCAGAAAGAAAATGAGTGATAGGAGGCTTGGGATTCCAGCTTCTGTTCAAATGAGTATTAGAAATACCAGAAGCAAAGTACAACAGCTTCACCAGCAAAGGCTTGAGGAGCCCAGCTCAAGTGCTTTGCAGCCAGATGTGGAGTGCTTTGTGCAGTAATAAGACACTAAGCCCTAACTCCAAGAGCATCTGGTTGGAAAAGATTATGACGGAGCTTGGCACCTTTTTATGGTGCTAGAGGGAAAGTGTGTCCTATCAACCGCTGTAGATGATGTCCTACACAGCTATCAGCTTTTAGGAGGCCAGAATAGGACAAGTCAGGAATCTGAGGATTACAGGACAAATTCCACTGGGGAACAATGCCTTTAAAGTTTGTGTTTTCAGTGCTGTACCTAGTCCCCTGTGAATCCAGCCTAAGGCACACAATAATCCTCTCTGCTACCTCTGGCATGGCCCCATGACAGCACGGCAGGGCCCTGTCAATAGCATGACTGCTGCATGTGGAAACATGCATATAAAGACCTAACACATGGACATTTCAGGTACTATGAATCTTGTTGCAACTCATCTCCATAGATCTATTGCTTTCATGAAGGTTTATCTCTTATCTCCATATCTTTTCCTTAAACATTGCTAACATTAGAACATTAGTTACATGAGACTGCACTGTAGACATGAATATTAATAAATACTCAATATTTATGTTATGGATTCTGAAACTGTTTAAGTGATTATTGAATCACTGTTTCATGCTCAGAAAGAAAACTCTTTGCTAGGTTTGATTGTTGGTTTTTTTTTACTTTTAGTATCTTAAGGATAGAAAACTTAAATACTCTTCTTGCCCCAGCTATAAATTAGAGAAAGCAGCTGTGACCATGTTTATCTAGTGCAAGTAGATTACCGATTAAGCAGGTTATTGATGTCCATGCCTCAAGGACATGGAGGCTGGAGCTCTCAGTCCTCACTTCAGCTTTCCTTTGGGACTGGGATCTCTGTGGCTGTAGGGCAGAAAAGCTCTGAGTCCTGGAGCTGGTTCAAGAGTTCCCTGAGGAGAAGGTGGCTCAGTGGTTGTTAAGAGCCAGTGGGCTGGTGTCAGACAGGTTCTGGCCAGGTCTGTTTTCCAAAGAGGTGCTCCTGCAGAATAAGCAACCCAGCCTGGCTTCTCTCCACCAGATATGGCCAGTGGTTAGCAGCTTTGAATTTTGTAAAGCACCAGAGTACCGAAAATCATACATGTAGATATTAGCATTACCAAATGATAACATTTAACTACACACTTTCAATTACCTGGATTTGGCCTACCACTAGTTTCCAAGCAGTTCCTCCCAGGAAATGAGGGAGAGTCCTGCTTAAACATAAGGTCAAGCCCTGTCCTATATGGAATCAGTCTGAAGAAATTCCAGGCTGAAACCCATCCCAGATGGATTTAGGAGGGAACACTCGGGTCTTATCCTTTCCCACAACTCTGTCTGACACAACATTCCATGTAAAGAGAAAATTTGTAATTTTATAGATGTATTTTTATACTTGGGTTTTTATGTATGCACATGAAATAGGTAAACATGCTCTTTCTTCCACTGTATCCAGCCTTTTCCTGAGTGCTGACATAATGGCTATGATCACAATAAGTTTGTCTCACAGGTGTGTAGCCTCATTGTAAGGTAGCGTTTGTTGGTTTTGCTTCTACCACAGCTGTATCTCCAAATAGAAGCAATGCCACTCAGTCACGCCAATGTGTTTCTTTCTAGTTGTACTAATAAAAGTTTACAATCATTTTCCAAATAACTTCTGTTGAAAATGTGTTTTAATCTTTAGAGAGACTAAATGATAGTAAAGGTAACAAGTTATAACTTCACCAATAATGCCTAAAAATAGCCTTCAAAAAGCATTTTTGAATCCTTAGCTGACTTTTTTTAGCAGCCCTGATAATACTGCAATACTTGTGGAAATTCTGGCACTACTACCAGTGTACAACTTTTAGTTTTTTCTGTGTGTATGCTTCCAATACAGAATATTACTATGAATACTGCTGCCAACAACTACTCTGAACTTAAAAATCTGAAAAGGTAAAGCTGCAATCAAATACACAATCTGAACACATTTTGTTCTATAATTTTGCTCTGGAATGCAATTATTTTTAAATAAAAAATCTCTTATAAGTTGTACACATAATTTCAACAACATGTACACATGCTGAAATCAAAATAATAAGCAGACAGAAGCTTAAAACAGTTAAAGTTTACCTTTCCACTGCAATAAGGAGGCCAGGACCATGAGGGCAAGAGTAATATAACCAGAATAAAACAGGAACAAATAATACAAAACTCACACTGAAATTCAGCTATGGGAACGTTGTTAAGACAGTCACATTTGTAAGTTCCCATTAGCCTTGGCCAAGAGTCAAGGCTCGTGGAAACACTGGGTTCTCTGCTTTAGCTGGTCCTCAGCCAGTCCTCACAGCCTTGTGCTGTGGCCAGAGGGGCTTTGGAAATAACAGCTTGGGCTAAACATCAGCTCAAACTGTGCCCCACGTACAGACCAAAGCTCACTGTGCTGCCAAAATACTCAGCAAAGGCTGTGGCTGACTGCCATGGGCAAATGTTTAGCACAGGTGTGGTTGCTGTGAAAGAAAAAAAATGTATACATTTACTTTCTTCTGTAAATCAAATACTTCACATCAAAATTAGAGTTAAGGCTGTTCTAGATGTAGCTACAAAGTTTGGGGCAGTTGAAGGTGGTTTTTTTGGTTTGTTTTAAAGTTAAAGAAGTGTAAATGCCATGTTTCCTTTCATGACATGTGGAAGGCACCTGTGAGATGCTATCAAAAAGCTTATTTTCAAAATGGAAAAGTCAGATCATGCTGTGCCTAAGTGCAGGAATGCAGAAGCAGGCAGGTGGTGTAACATTTTCAGTGCTAAAAAAAAATTAATAAAGGGAACATTGAATTGTTGAGAAGCACAGGGAGCACAATGTGCTTCAACCCTTCATTTGGCAACACTTTAGTTATGGCCAATAAATATTTTTAAGCTTTTATTAGAGACTCACTACCCTCATCTCTCCTTCAGTAAAAGACAGCTAGTAATAACTTGCAAATGCCCTCAGGTATTTCTGCTGTTTGTCCACCACATAAAAAAACCCAACAAATCCAACCTCAAAACCACCACACCAAAAAAACGAACAATCACAAAAAAAACCCCCAAAAACCCCAAAGCAAGTTTTACCCAACTAATAATTTAGATTATGACCCAGACTGCTTGGTGAAATCCTGTAATAAAACAGAGTGCACAGGACAGTTTAAGCAATATGGAGTACCAATAGGCAATGCACACACATGTTATTTTTCGCTACTTCAAGTGGCACAAAAGGACTTACAATCTCAGCAGAGCGGAACAATGTCCTGAAAGCCTGGCCACACTAAGCTGTGAGTAATGGAGTGCTGAGGCTTGTAAAGAGTCACATAATAGCAATTTTCACATAATAGCAATTTAAATGTCCCAGAGGCGTCATGGAGCTGGTCTTGTGTTTAACAGATGACTGCCACTCATGTTTCTTCATGTAGTTATTTTGATGCCATGGCTTAGTCAGAAGGTTTTGAAAGATCTTACTCTGAATACTACAGCTTTTGTATGAAAAAAATGCAAACTCCTGACACTAAATCATCATCTACCTGTCAGATCTGCTGGTAGGTTCTGCTTCTGCAGAAGAGGCAACAAGAGGGCAGGTCACAGGCTGGTGTTGTCCCCAAACTCTTTTGAAAGAGAAAGAGGGGACAGAGCTGAGGCCTGCACTCCCTCAGGTCACTGGAAGTGCTGGAGCTCCCCCAGCAAAGTTCAACATACCTCAGTCATAGAGTTAGAGACTTGTAAATCATGGACCAGTCTCCTCTCTGTGGAGGAGTGGCCGCAAGTGCAGAGAGGCTGTGGATTTAATGTGCAGAAGAAACATTCAGGTCAGACAATGAAAACAAAAACAGGATTTGATTTTGAGGGCAGGAAAGCACTGCTTGTTTCTCTGGAGCTCTTTACAGCAGGATAACATCTACTAGGAAGGACAAGGGTGGAGCTGAGCCTGCCTTGGGGCTGTGGAGCAGCGTAGATAATTTCAGCTCATCCCAGTAACTCTCTTCCTGTATGATTCTGCCCCTAGTACCAGCTTGTCTCCCTGCACAACCTGTTGACTGTTTTGCAACCTTGTAGCTCCCATTTCTTGTCGAGAAAGCTGAGATGTTTCACTTGGGAAACCTGGAGTACACTCATGGCGAGGAGCCCGCCCACAGCAAGTAGGATATAACAGATAAACATCTGAAAAAGTAATTCAAACCAACATGATCTCTTGGAATTTGAGTATCTGCCACCACTTCAAAGGTCTCCAGTAACTTTATGTGAGAACTTAAGAAAACACTTTGTCATATGTTGAACCAAACTAAAAAAAAAAATCAGAAATGGTTGTCATCAATTTCTCCTTCCACTACTTTTCTTCTACAGGCTAAACAAAAAGAATATTTTCTCTTTTTCTCCTCACTAAAATTAGGGAGAGAGTCAGTCCTAATTACACTCTACCTTTTGAACACAGAGCTGTTTTAAACATTTGATAACATGTGGTGACTGGCATTTGAATGAACTCAGCATGCCGTCAATATCAGCCCTGTATAGCAGCAGCTGTCCAGACCTCACAGCGTTCATTTAAATTCTTTCAGAGATCTTAAAAGATGTGGAATATGTAATGTTGATCATTGATGTGGAAAGCTCATGGTTCAATTAGAAAGCAGAGTCCTTGCCTGAAACATGGTGCCTAAAAATAAACACACAAATCTTGGCAATTTGAAAGCAGAAACTTTTAGAAAGTAACAGAACCACAAAATGGGCTCAGCACTAATAATTCATTAGCAGCTACAGTATGAGGAAACTGTTTATTTCAACAGGTGCTAGTGAATACAAACAGATTTCCTACATTCCTCCCTAAATTGTCCATGTAACTTTTTGGGAAGGGAAGTAAAAAGGAGGCAATGTTTTAGAGAGTCTGGAATCTAGAAGTTGCCACATGCACCTCAGCCACTTTTTGTGCAGTGTGTGAGCAGTGGGAAACTGGCAGAGGGCAGGACTCATCTGTCTTAGAGACAGATGAGCAACAGCACTCAAATGCGAGACATGCAATGCAAGATGCCTTCTTTTGAGCAGCCTTTAGAGACACTTTAGCTGATTATTATAAAAGCCTGGAGGAATGTAAAAACACCTGAGACTGAAGAAGAGTGATGTTATCAGCTAGAAGCTGCTATTTGTAAGGGAAGGCCTGTAGACAAGACTGGAGCTCCTTACTGCTGCTGGCAGACAATTTTGCAGTACAGGCATGAGGTAGTTTAGAGAAAAGACAGCCAGCCAACATGTGAACTGGGTGAGGTGGGAAGTAAGTCCTTTTGGTTGCAGATAACATGAAATGGCAAATGGTGTCAAAATGGAGTGATACAGCAGGAGGATGAACTGTCATGGAAAAAAAAGGCTGCACTAAAGATTTACTCTTTATGTGAAGAGGAAGGTGAGGGAGACATGTTACATGTGTCTCGTTTGGGCTTCTCTCTTATGGTTAAAATGGTGTTTATCCATCAGTGAGATGGCCTATGCAATAGCCTGGTGAACAAACTGGACGACAGTGGTTACATAAATTATTGTCTACACAAACTACTACATGTAATAAAAAGTCTTGAAACAAGTCAACCAGTACCACCACATCCCAGCCCTGTTGCTTACTTCATACTTCAGCAAGTGGTGAATCCGAGGGCATGCTAGGATTCTAGGGCAGTAGTGTAAGGGAGCAGGCTGAACTTACCTGAACTGGATTCTCCAAATCCACATTTATGCAATGTCCTGTCTATAACACCATGACGTGTTATGCAATGTTGCATACAAGAAATAAGCAGTATGCAAAGTCTACTGTATGAAGAAATATAAAAAATAATCCAGACATTTAAACCTTGAACATCCTAATAAATTACGAAAAAGTCTTATAAACAAGATTTTAAGGAAATGTGCTCATCATCTACCTTGGCTGAAGAAAACAAAACCACACCTTGGCATAAATCAGCAGTTGTTACTCCTGCGTTTAACCAGTTAGCATTCCAACTTTGTAAAATACAGTAAAGCATCTTCTTCACACAAAATAGAGCTGAAAACTGCTCTAGAGATACAAAACTGTGTGCTAGAGATACAGACAGCACTGCTGCCCTTTTCAGAAGCACACACAGTGACTTTAGCACATGATCTATTGCCACCAAATGTAAATGTATTAGTTGCCTTTAGTAAATTCAGTCTTTTCAGAGTTCAAGCCACTTGTACTCCCAGACTCATCCTGAATGCCTGGTAAGAAGGAGGTGTTATTTAATAACCCATCTCTTGAACAGGTTTGAAAAGGTGTTTTATGTGCTGACAAAATACTATCAGTGCTTTCTTCCTCTGATACAGCATCTGCAGTTTAGCTGGAAGGCACAGAAGTAGCTTGGAGCTTCACCCTATAATTCACATTACACTCATCTTTCCATCTCTTAATTTCTTTCCTCCGCTCCTCGGGGGACAGTCTGACAAGGTACTTGGCTCTCGACACTGGAGATGGAAACAATGTTCCTTGGAGAACTCTTATCAAATATCTACAAAATAAACACAGTTACAAATAAGCTGTTTAAAAGAAAGCCCAAAACTGTTTCCAGTGACTAAAGGTGAAACCACCATTGAAATAACCCTAAAGCCTAGTTCTTGGACTACAACTAGATGATCTTTAAGGTCTTTTCCAACCCAGGCCATTATGTAATTCTGTGATATTAGAACTGACCTAACTGCCAACTTAGGTTGGATTTAATCACAGAATTTTGCAGTTAATTTTCAGGCAACAGGGCATCCAACATCTGTCCCTCTGTAAAAGAACTTCTCCTCTACACCTCCAGTGAAAGCCCGATCTCACACCCTTACACAAGAAGCTGCAGAGGAGCCCCTGGCTTCACAATGCCCCGAGTGGGGGTTTTTCAGCATCATACAAAGGATTGTATCAGAAACAAACATGGAAAAAAACACATGTGACAGCAGTAGTCCCATAACAGGTACTTCTGCTTCAAATTACTGCAGTAGAAAAGCTGGAATTAGCCACAACAGCTATAAATCTTCTAAGGTATTGACACAGGGAGAGTACTTATGACTTAAGGAATTTCTAATAGTTTGCCTTTAATTAACCATGAAAACCACTGTCATCTTCAAAATTCAACAGCCACACACTGAAGTAGCCACCAAGCTGAAACCTTTATCCTACCTTGGCTTTCTACGGCTCTGCCAAAAGGTCCCAGAACAGCCTATATCTATTAATTTGCCATGTAGGGGAGATTCACTGTGTGTGAAAGAAAAGGCTCTGCTGTCGTCACCTGAACCAAGCTGAGAGCAGAGACAGAAAGCCATGTTTCTTGCACCTCATGGTTTGTCATTCTGCTGAAGTGCGAACCAAAGCTATCAGTCAGATCAGATCAGTCATAATCCCCAGTGAGTGCAGTAAATCTCTTGATGACACACTTAAGACACAGATCAGACATGTTCAAACTGGACTTATTACTTGGTGACCACTGCAGGCATGTACAGGCATGGCTCTGCCAGCTTTCCTGCTGGCAGGACTGATAACTTATGCAGCCTGTACTCCAGCACTTGATCCAGAAAGTGTGCTCAGATTGTGTCTAATGATATTAAATGACATCAGGTGAGTGGAAAACAGCACTTATTCTCCTCGACTCTTCTCAGTATCTGTCTGTGCAATTCAATTTCAAGTCTCATTCTTTCTGAAATTATGTAAGAGGGAAAGAAAGAGACATAACACTGAAGAATGAGTAATTAGCACTGGAGGCACTTCACTAGTAGGCTACAGACTTGAGTTCACACTCAAGCAGTGAAATGAAGATAGCTTTGGCTACTAAAGAAAGCTAAACAGAAAGTTTGATGACGTCTCTTCCACTGGTTTTCACATGGTTTGTTTTGCTTTGTTGGCTCACTCAGGTGTCTCGCTGCTCAGCATGCACGTTTTCCACCTCCAACCAATACTACTGCCCTTCAGGGTGAATGAATTACTAAACTTGAACTTCAGTGAGACAAAAAATTATCCAGACCCCCTTGTGAATCTAGTCAGCATGTTTCCACCCCACAAAGAAGCCTGTACATGCATTCTTCACTCTAAATACATTCGTAGATATTCATGACATACATTTCAAACAGAAAATCATTTCACAAACTAACACAGACTAAGCAGAGTATTTCTTTGTCTATATATAGTACTGGTCACTAATTTAACTGATCTGTATATAAATTATGAACTCTGTGATTACAGAAATTACTGTTTCTTTGCCTTCCAAAGACAACATTTAATATTATATGAGTCAAAAAAGAAAATTTTTATTACTGAAATTTACTTGGAGAACTAAATGGCACTAAAAAGTTGTCCTCACATAGCTTGGTGAAATAGAGTCATGAAATTGTCATTTTTATTGGGGGATGCTAGGGAGGAAAGACCTCTAGCCAGAGTTTCATAACAGACTCACAGAAAACTAATTTTGGTAATAGCAGCAATCTGCAATTATAAAACAGAAACTCACCTGGGTAGCAGAGCAATGCAAGTAGTTAAGAGGCAAACTAAGTAAAATACTGGGTCTGTCATGTGCTTTTCCATGATCCAGTAAAAGTCTGATCGTGGGTTGTGGGTTTTGCAGGTTGCTCCAATTGCCAGAGTGAACACAAAGTAAAACAGGATGCTGCCAACTATAACTACTGTATGTATCCATGTCTGCAATTCAGAAAAGGAAGTAAGTAAGATTTAAGCTGTAAAACAGAAAGACTGTTACATCTGTATTTACATGAACATGCACACTTTTCCTCCAAGGGCAGCTGTTGAATGTAACAGAGGATACATCTGTTCAGATAATATTCCTAATTTCATACAAAACAGTCCAGAAAGAATGGAGCCTTCTTTCTACAGTATACAGGTGTTCCAGACATTTAATTTTTTAAATTCTCATAAATTCATAGCTTTTTATTCTTTTGTGAAAGACATTTGCATCAAATTACCACCTTATCCACTGGCAGCACAGAAAGCTTTCTCAAGTGGAGATGAAATCTCTACATGACACCACCTTTATATAGCTTGCTTGAGACATTGGAGTTTCTACAGTGGAGTTTTCTGTAATTTTACATCTAAATGGCTATAACAGCTACAAAAAAACCAATATTGCCACTGGTCTGACAGCTTGCCAGCATTAAAAAATGCCAAACAAAACATATTTAAGTAAGGTTCTCTAATCAGAGTGTGAATACACTCATGCTATATATATGTTCTTAATAAAAGCATTTTAATTATGGCTGTCATACTCCCAAAAGAACAGTGAGAAAACTGAATCACAACTTCTAAAAAGTCAAATAAAAAACAAAACCCATTAATAAGTATCCTTCTACTATACCCATTTATTGTATTTTCTTTAAAATTAAGCCAAAACTCCAAGTATTACCCTTGTAAGGGACCTAAATGTATCCAAGCTAATGCAGGTGCTTTAGCTTGTGGAGATTTGAAAACTGAAATAATGTTTCTTAGCATATTGATTTTCCAGTTCTGGCATCAAAATACACCTCTGAACTGCTTATCCTGGCCACACAGAAGATCATCAATTCCAAGCTTTCAAAATCAGCAATTTACACTGTTGTCTTTGAGATGCAAACTTTGCAAACTAAGGAAGTTTTAGCAGATTACTGGTGGATTTTCACCATTTGCAAAACTGAACCAACATCCCCCAAACCACCCTACCTTAAAAGGAAGAAGGATAATTTTACTATTTAAAAACAATTCTGAGGCCAAGCTTTGTTAATTTTAGTCCTATTTCTATTGGTTCCAATAACAGATAAGTTAGGAGAGCTCACATGATCACATAAATACTGTATTTAGGGTTTGACCCTTTTACACTTATTCTGTTTTGCATTTGAAGACCTCTCTTACCTTTAATTTTACTGAAAGCTGTATACTCTGTAAGGAATATACTCTTTGGGAAACAAAGTACTCACCACAGACTTGCACTCAATGAGAAGGTGAAACAGCATTATGAAGAGTGCTGCTGTGTTTATGGGGTTTCCAAAAGAAAAAATGTCTATGTCTGAGCCACAGTAAGTCTGTAAAGGAAGACAGTAGTCAGCATCAAATATTATTTATGTATAGTCCTAATATGAAGTGGCATGAATAATTTCAACAACATACATATTTGCACACACAGAGTTCAGTCCTGTTACAATGATAATCTTAGTATACATTCATATACAAGGAAGTAAAAATCAAATACTTCATTCTATTCTCTATTTTGCTTAGGTTTTAATTAAGTAAAAATGTATAAATATATTTTGTAGCCAGCACTTACAAAGTAAGGCACAAAAAAGCAAACGAGACTTTGGTAAAATGCATCCAGCAAGGTTATCCAAAAAGCTGAAGGCAAGTAAGCCTGTAAGAGAAAAACATAACGGCATTGTAACAAATTGCTGCATCCTTAATCAGCATTAATTTGGATCTGGGGAATGATTATCTGCTGAAGTAATTCCAGTTAGTTTCCAAGTGAAAAAGGCATCTTTTGTGTTACAGTTATTAGAACAAAGATCTCAAGATCTCCCTCCACACATATATCTGTTAGTATTTGAATCAGCAGCCAGCACTGGGAACTCTAATCTTGCAGCTGTTCCTATCAGAACAGATGTACCAGAGCTTCAGCTGAGTCCTAAGGAGGGGAGGGGGCTGATGGACAGGGAAGTACCCTGCAGCTTACCATCACTGAATACCAAGTCCCACCTTCTTCTATCTCCATCCCTTTTTGTTATGTGTGCTGTTTGACTCCTCTGTGTGAATGGGACTCCTCTGTGAGCTAATTTAGCCCATCAGATGTGAGAAATTAACTCACTTTTCTGCTGGAGTAACACGTTGCTCTTTCAGTGAGTTAAATCAGCTCCTGTGAGGTCCTGATGGCATAACTGAGCTGGCACTAGGAAAACAGTTTAACTATATGGATGAAGAGGGAACAGGAAGAAAAAAAGGGAGAAGGGAATAAGACTTCCTCCCTCAGGAGCAGTCTCACACCGCTGTGAGATCAACCACCTAGGAAACCACAGCTGCCTATGCTCTGGCTCAGTTATATCCCATTCTTTCAGGCACTGAAGTGAGACACATAGGTGAGAAGTCCAATCATCCAGGATGTCCTGTATGATTAGTGGAGAGATGGGTTTTTCCAAAGAGCCATTCAGCCCTTTTAAGAACCGAATTGCTGTCTGAAGGTGATGTAGGAAACTTATTTTCTTTTCAGGAAAGGGCTTTAAACTACTGAAGATTAATTCCATTTACTGTTCCATTATTTTTTATGGTTTATACAAAGCTGTATACTCGTGATGTCATGGTGCAATATTGTGACATTGCCTCTTATTGCATCTTTTAAAGCATTTCTCTTTTTTCTATACTGTATTTAAGTCCATGCAATTATTTTCATTTGCTTCCATGCATGAAAGGAAATGATAATAACTCCAACCAGAGAGCAAGGAATGATGGGATGGACAAAAGACAAAAAAAACTAACACAAGATAAGATAATAAAAAGGGAAAGAAGAAAATATATTATGTAATGCAGTAATTCCAATTATCTTGCTACAAAACCTTCATCTCAGCTCAGATCACTGCATTGTACATATACTGAAGATCAAAACAAATAATGAGACCTTGCAACATTTACTTAATCAAAATTCTTTGACTGACAAAGCACAGAACTGCTCAAGCCAATCTACACAGGTTTGGATTGGTACCAAAAGAATACTTTGTTTTTCCAAAAATACTGTAAACCAAGCAACATAAAATATTTAAGCGTATATAAAAAGAAATGTAGAAGTCCACAAACAAGCAAAACAATTTGTCCATTCACTGTATTACCTTCTTTCCCTTCTAGACTGGACCTAAACTTCTGCCAGGTTATAATAAATGAGACAACACTATTACACAACATGTTGTAGCTCTTTTTTTTTAATAGTATGTCTTAGAATAGAGTAGAATAGAACAGAATAAAATATTTCAGTTGGAAGGGATTATCTGGTCCAACTGCCTGACCACTTCAGGGCTGACCAAAAGTTCTAGCATGGTATTAAGGGCGTTGTGCAAATGCCTCCTTAACACTGACAGTCTTGGGGCACTGACCATACCTCTAAGAGTCTGCTCCAGTGTGTGACCATTCTCTTGGTAAAGAAATGCCTTCTAATGATATTGCAGGATCTGATCCTAAAGAAAATGTTGAGTTTTAGGTGACTCATGTAGTCAGTATTTCCTCTCTCTGGACTATTAGTATCTATTTTGTCTCAGGCTCAGTATGTCACTGCCTTCAATTATTATAATAAAGATATTGTTTTAATTATTAAATTTTTAAAACTATAAAATTTAAAATTATGCTATAATTCATGCTAAACAAATCAGAAACCAGGAAAGATCCCACCGAGTTATATAATTTTGATTTAGAACCGATTCCCTCACTCCCTTTGGTTTTCTGTGCTAAATGTTTGGACAGAATTTGCTGATAGACCAGGTATGATGTATAGTGTTTTCAGGTGGGAAGGCAAATTTCAGAACATACCTGTAAGGTGAAAAGTACCCTCACTGACAAAAGTTCTTTGAAGATTATTTGAAATTAATCTGCTCTGATTCTTTGTCAGTTGAGACTTTTATATGACAAAGAAAAAATATACAGTATATAGAGTGCCCTTGCTCAAACAAATCCCAATTTGAGGAAACATGCTGACAGCTAACATAATGAATGAAATAAACATGCTGGTAACAATGTTTGTCTAGTACACTGCTTTACCTGAAGTCCTTAATTTCTTTTATCATCCAAATATCTGATAAGATTGGGTCTATTACTGAAAAGAGCCTAAAAAATATTTTTAAAAACAGGTTTATATTTGTGCACATATTCCACAAGCCTAGACACTTCCTAACAGAGAAAGCAATTTAAAACAATGTTTGTCTGAGATGAAACATAAAAGAAAGACAGAAATGGCTTAAATGCTGACCATTTCAATTTGCTTCAGGCCAAGCATTCTGCAACCTACCACAGATTTCTGGCTCATTGTGTAAAGCTGTGGTAGTTCCATGAGTATCTCTGCAGATACATCTTTGTCCAAGACACCATAGATGATGGGTGGCACCGATGTAAAAAGGAGATTGAAAAGAATCAAGATCCAGTAGTCAGTCATTGATGTGCCTGAAAACCCACAGAAAAACTGGTACCAAAACAGCAGATTCACGTAGGTCTGAAAAGCCAAAGACAACATGATGAAATTTTAGCCATTGACAAATGCTTTAAAAACAAGAGGAAAATTAGTAGGTCTTAGGTCTGGTTAAAGTAATCCCTGGAAACATTTCAAATACAGACATGACTTGCTGAAACAGTCGTGCTGCCACCATATTAGTAGTGCCCCATACTTACTGTGTAATGAAATCAAACAATGGCTTTGAGTGGGAAATTTAGTCAAAGGAATAAGAACCTCTGGCCTCTGCAGGCAAATGCGAAACTGAATTGTTTGACACATACTTTTTGAAACCATTCACAATAGGAGGAGAAAAAAGAAAATAAAGCCTTACTGAACCTTTCAGTGCTCAAACATACGTAAACTGTGATTATCCTAGAATGGGACAGTTACATACCACATTCTTGTAGAAGAAGTAAAGCACCATGTTGGTAAGTCTCGTGTAACACCAGTGACCATGGACAAGCAGCAGCTTCCTGAGATGTCTAAACTGAGAGATTGCAAAGTCACTTGCCATCACAGCCTGCAAAACACACGAATAAAAGGATATGCTTTAACCAAACTGTTAAAAATAAGCTTCAGATACTGCCAACAAAGCAACTTACCCACTGTTGGAAGTTCTTATTTTATGATTTTTATACATAGTACTTGCCAGGTTATCCTCCCTCACATATCCCCTTCCATACAAGACTTCAAAACTAACACACAGAGCTCAGTCCAACACAGCACAAACAGGAATATAGCTGTCATCATTATTACCACACAATAAATCACTGCACAGAAATCACTGACACTGACACTTAGGCTGCTCATTTCCCTGCATGACATAAGTAATATGGAGCACACTGACAGGCAGCAAACTGTTGTTTGGAGCTTGATGTGCAGCATTCAGCTTCTGATTGCTCCTGATGGAATGCCGAAGCCTGGGTGTGAGGCTCAGGCTGCAAAGTCTTGCCCATGTAAGGGAACTGACTATGGTGCTATTGGGTCTCCAGAGTACACTCTGAACTGATTTAAATCAGTTGCAAATCATTTGCAGGTGTCTTTGGATACACTACCTGCATGCCTTCCTGGCCAGATATTCCCACACCAGTGTCAGCCACCTGGATCATACTGACATCATTGGCACCATCACCTACAGAGAAAAGAAGAAAAATCAAAACTAGCTTTGCTGACTATCACATTGCTATGGAGGTGTCAGGAAAAGACAAATATCAAACACCAAAGAGTTCAGAGAAATACATTTTTATGGCCAACACTGAAAAACTCTAAGGAAAACAGGATTAGTAAGTGGAACACCTGCCTGAACTGAGCTATGTTCTCCAAAGAGATAATAGATGTTCCCTTTGTCAGAATTTAGTTGGCGTGCTGCACCACAAAATGTGGGTGCTTTAAATCACAGCCAGTCATCTCTCCTCTACCTCCTAATTTTGGGGGGTTATGATAGGAAGAAATATGCTCTCACTTGCTGCTTTGCATGTTACATAAGAATGGTATGACTGGTGCTGTTCTTATTGCTTTATACTGACTTAAGTTTATGGACTAAATTTACTACTTCAGAAGACAAACATCATCTCATGTCAGAGACAGCTACAATTCAAAGGATAATATTGCTCATAAAATAAATTTTGTGACGGACATTAGCAAAATATACAAGAGAAGAAATTGGCTTTTACTTCTTTTCAGAGAAAGGAGGATAACCACAAGACTCACCTACAGCTAATGTCATTGCCTTTAGCTTACTTCGCACCAGTTTGACCAGGACACTCTTCTGCAGTGGTGTGGCTTGGCAACAGACCACAGCCCGACATTTTTCTGTGAGTTCCAAGAAAATATTCTGTAGGCTGTCATGAAGGACATGTTCTAAAGTCCTTCCATCAATAACCAGGCCTGAATTGAACCCTTGAGCTTGGGTGGAGGGACTTGCAGAGGCATTTCCAAGTTTCTCACTGCGGTTTTTTTTGACAGAAGTATTATCCTGGATGTCTTCTAAAATTTTGCTCATTACCAAGGCACAGGCATCCTAATAGAAGACACGAGAAAAGCATCTTATGAAATATTGTTTGTACTCTTCCTCCCTTTTCACTTCATAAAATACATATGGGGAAAAAATCAAATGCTTGTATAGTATTTATTTTGAAAGGATCAGACATGAGGTTGAATACCCCTTTAAAAACACACAGGATGTAGACTGTTGTTAATGCAAGTGTCTATGATAAACTTTGCTTTAGCAGATTTGCTTGGGTATTGTATTAGAGAAGAGAGAAAAACCTATGCAAGCCAGAAAACCATTACAGACTAGCAGGAAAAGCAATCATTAAGGATTCCATAACATAAATACAGCTTTGATAAAACTTTTTCTCTCCATGTTTCTTTTGTCTGGCATGCAGAACCAAAAGTGCACTTCATATCACATTAAAAGTGAGCTGCCATGAATTACTGAAGAACTGGACTTGAGGGATGTTTCACCTTATCAGAATCAATATAAGAAGCTCAAAAAGTTTGTGGTATCAATATATGTAAAGCACATGCAACATAGAAGAAAATACATCTTCTTAAATCTTCTCATCATTTTACTTTGAAATGCAACAGTATCAAAGCCTGTTTTTTATTTCTAAGCCTAGTTAGAGGGAAGAAGAGCACTTATTCAAAAGAGGTTTAGTTCTCACTGTCAAGACAGACACTAATTTCCCACCAGAGTAAAAGGAAAATGCTGGTACAAATCAAACTCCAAGCTTTCCTCAAACACAACTAGACTAAAAATCCTTTCTTTTTTCACTTTATTTTCCCCACAGTTAATTATTTTATGGCATATACAAATTGTGTTTCTTAAGACATATATAAGCAAAGAAAAAAAGGAAAATTAAAGGCCTTAGAACAAGCATCTAAACCTGAAACCATGTCAACTCCTTAGCTTACCACAGAGAGAAATTAAGAAGTTTATTCAATTAAAATAATTAATCATAATGTAGGGACATAATATAATGGATTTCATATTTTACCCACAAGGAAGAACAATACAGAAAAGCAAATGTTCTTTCATTTCCCAAGGAAGCAAAATTTGCTTTTCTGTATTGTCCTGTGGACTAACCTCATTGAATTTTTCAGCAGAGAAGAAAATCTACTTTTCTACTCACCCTACTCTGTGATTTTAGAGTGAAGATTTTGTCCTTTGGTTCCAGCAGTTTACAAGCATAGGCAATGTTGACAGCTGTCTCTCTCTTGTCACCTGTCAACATCCATATTTTTATTCCAGCTTTCCGTAAAGCCTGAATTGTGTCTGGAACACCCTCCTGCAGGTGATCTTCAATGCCAGTGGCACCTTCATGTAGTCAAGCAGATATATTAGTGCTGCTGTATTTCCAAAACCAAAATGGTTCAAGAGTGACAGGAGAGCTGGTTTTCTCTCTGTACCCACATCCCAAAACAAACATGCTACCATGATGTGCTTGTAATTTCCTGAAAGAAAGCACCTTGGCAGTATGAAGTTGTTTAACCTCCATATTTTCACTTCCATTTAATGTTAGGGCCAAACTATATTGCTTAGTGTCACACCAGAGATATGACCCTGCAAGACAGCAGGTCTCCAAAGCAGCTTGACTTCTCTCTGTTGGCTTTAATGGCCAAGGGTACCTGTACATCCTTAAAAAATATTCATTTTGCAGCACTGCTCTGGCTTCTCTCCAGAAATTGAAGCCAGTGATCCCATAATTCCTTTATTATCAAGGTTTATGGCATTTACACTAAGCAGATATGACGCAAAATAAGAGAAGGAGCACTCTTTACACAACAGAATCTGTCTCTCTTCAGCTTCTAGCACAAGCTGCCTTTACCACTATAGTCAGAGCTTTGCATTTGTTTTCCAAATGTTATTTGCTGGGCAGTTCTCTAAAATTATTATCCCAGACTGCTTGCAGTCTACCTTTCACACACCTGCAACAAACATTTTTTTGTTTCATTTCTGCACAGCTGAATGACCTTCAGAGGAATGGTTCTGGCAGAAGCATGCCTGACTTCTTCTCTCCATGTCATTACAGGAGAACACAGCACATGTACACCTGCTGTGCCATGACTACAACACTGATAGAAAATATGCCCAGAAATGGGTTATCTCTGAATATTTGCACAGGCAGGCCTGTGACTTGTTGCTATAATTTCATGTGTTTGTTACAATTACATTTAAAAACTCTAGTGAAGATAGAAAAATACACAATATTAACAATAAAAGAAACAAAAAAAACCCAAAACAGTAGATTTTTACTGACGACAGGAGAGTACCATCTGTCTTCAGTGTGCTTTGCAACTAGTACAAACTTACCAGTGAGATTTTTGAAAATTCAGGAGTGACGATAAATTCTAAGTCTGTAGAAAGCTCTGTGTTACACAGATTGTAAGCAAAGCACAGCTTTCTGCAAGTAAATTCCAATTATGAACATCATAGGCAGTTACCTGGGAGTATTTTCTACCTACCAAGCAAAGTTAGATTGGTCTCAAGCCTCATGGCAGATTCCAGCAGCAGGTCCTCCCTATTGTCAATGCTGGTTTCTGCTAAAAAACGATGATTTAACCACTCTGCATATTCTGCATCACTCATCACCTACACAGGGAGGGAAAACATAGGCATGTATCTATGCTGGGTTTTAAACAGTGTATCAAAAGTGTTCTCATGGTTACTTCTGCTGTCCACATCCCGAACCTACAAGTGCAACCTGTGGCAGTGCATTGCTTACATGCTCCAGGATGTCCAAGGATTTAGTACGATGTTCAGAGTGTTAGATTACTCTGCCAGGCTACTCCTTTGCACCCTGCATGTTCCTGAGGCTGCCTGACAGATTTCCATTTACATGGAAGGCAGGCAGGGCAATGGGCACAGTGCACTGTCCCTGCTGCTGCTCACCTGCAGCGCTGCCACTGCTGCAGAACCACTGCACAGCTGGGTACAGCTCGATGGTTGCACAGCTACACAGCCTGCGCTTTCACCTTGCATAAAGCTTTGTCAAGAGGCTTCTCACCCATTTCAATCCCTATGGAATTTTACTTCTGAGCAGGTTTGAATTTAAAATGGAATCTCAAAACATCACTTCAGTTGTGCATCCACAGCTTGTAACATTGAAACTGTTTGTGAAACCCAATAAAAGAGGTGTAACTTAATCTCTTTTTTGTGTCTGGAAGTCTACCCAGGGTACGATTCATACAAGGAGACCTGCTTATGAGTCCTAAAAAACATCTGGCTATTTGACAATACCCATTTTAAAATTCGGATGTTAAGATGCTTGGCATCCTAAACTGACAACAACGGCAATCTAACAGATGTCAGGAATTGATCTAGGTTTTCTTACAAATTCCTTCCAAAAGAACATTGGGATAAAAAAATGTTTGCTCCGTTGGTGATACCACTAAGTCTGGTCACAGACTGCAAACATTCTTCAAAATATATATTAAAAGAAATACCTTCTTAGCAATACAAAGAGTGCGCAGTCCTCTTCTAGCATAATCATCCAAATGATGCTGAGTTCTCTCTTTAATCTTCTCTTCAATTTCAGAATTGTTAGTATGTACTATCACACAAAAAGAAGAGAAAGTAAATTAAACAGGGATATTTCAGCTAAATTTAGCAGAAAATTTTGAAGGTCTAAATACATTCCTGCAGTAGCAAAATGTTGAAACTTATCATTAAAGAATGATAAGGGCAAAGAATTACAAGTTCTATAGATACCTTCAGATGCAGTTCTCAACAAATCCATCATGACTGAGTCTGAGCCTTTTGTGTACACCACCACTTTGTTGGAGACTGGATGCCGAACCACCACTGACATCCTTTTCCGCAGTGAATCAAAAGGCAGGATATGCAAAAGCTGAAACGTTAAAGACCCCAGACCTGCGAAGTCCACAGTTACTTGATCTGGAGTCCTAGACTGTAGAACACATTTATAAGCCCTAGCAGCATGAACCAAGGCAGCTTCATCTGGACTCTCAGCTTCGTAACTTAGTTTTGGTATGGGAGATAATTCGATAGATGACACAGCATGGTTGGGTTCACCACCAGCAGCTACATTCACTAAATGTATTTCTCCAGGCACTTGAGAATTTTCTGGGCTGTCAGTATTGTGAGGTTCAGAAATCCTTTCATCAGCTCCATCCAAAGTAGGTGAAGCCAGTTTCATTCCAAAAATAGACAGTTTTCTCACAAAACTATTGGGGCTTTCAGATGATGACTCCTTTACACTTGGAAGTGGGGAAGAACTTAGTCTCCAGACTGAAAATCTCTGGAACATTTGCCTGATTTCCTCAAGTGATTTAATAGGCATTCTACTCAGCGAAGAGAGTCTCACCTGGAACAGAATAGTTAGAGAAAGCATTTATGCTAAATTCTTCCTATTTTATTATATTAAGGAAGGACACCTTACAAAGTAGGAATGTTTCATAATGAAAGTAATGTTTTAATGTTTACCATGGGTTTGACTGCTTGGATTAAAGATGGCCAGCTCAAGTAAACATGAAGCCATATAAATACAGTAAATAGCCTCTATAAGATGTGTAAATCCTTCAAGTTTAATTCATGACTCCATGCAATACTTCTTTTCAGAACTTTCAGTAATGAACAGAGTAAGTATGACATTGTAACTTTTTGAAGTTGTGGCAAATTGAACTGAACACTCTAATCCTTGTTCTGAATTAGCAAAATACTTGTGAAGAATAAACCAACCCCTTCACACTAACTAGCTACAAGAACTGATAAACATACAGTACCTGATCAACAGTTTTTAGTGTTTTAAATTGACAGTTCCCCTGTGATCAGTGTTATAAAATAACTGGCTTTCTGTTACTCAGAACAGCTAGGGGGGGTAACATCTTAGAAAAATAAGGCACAGCAGGCTGACATTCCTTTATCACTGCTGGTGAGGACGTAAGAATGAGTTAGCGGGAAGCATGTTCTCTTTTGCCACTGAAAAGCAAAAGGCAGGGACAACCTGTGGCTCAGTCCTCCACAGTTCCAGCAAGCTGTAATGTGTCTCCATTCAACACCATGGAAACAGAGACAAGGAATGTCCTTTCATTGCCTCTTCCTATGACAACATTGCAACTTCCCATTGCCTTGAGTTCTTTCCTGTTATTCCCTGATCATGAACTCAGAAAACCTCCTTCCACACTGCTCCTCCCAATCAACCTACTAGTGACCTGGAGATCTACCCTGTTGGCAAGTTATTCACACATATTACTCTCAAAAAACCAAGATTCTCACCTGTATATTAATCTCCATCCCATTTAAGGAATAGGTAACTATTGACTATGAACTCATCTGCCTCATCCACACATAGATCTTTAGGCTGCCTACTAAACACCTTTCTGGGAATGCTTGGAAGCACACTAAAACACCAGGCTTATTTATACATAGGAGGTACTTCATACCCCACAGGATATGTTTTATGAATGTCTCCAGCTATGGTTGGAGGTTTACTACCCAGATAGACACCAAAATCTAGTTCTGCACATGTTACTGTTTTTTTCTCCAAAAACAAAGTCAATTAATGTAAATCACCGTGTAATGAAAGAAAGAAATCAAAGCTGAACTTGGGAATAAACTTGCAACACAGTCAAAACTGGCAAAAAAATGGAATTATAAAAATCCCACAATGGAAAAACCCGAAAGATTTTTTTAAAAAAGTACTATTTGTAAAAAAAAGTTAGGTTGTGTGCACTGAAAACAACAAGTGGTCACTCCAAACTACTAAAAACCAGGGGAGACTAGCAAATGCACTGTTAATTCATGGTGAGACAACTTTATGCCATACTGCAAAGCAATTTTTATTCTGACTAATATATGTAAAACTTAACCTTCCATACTTTTGCTGAATGTCTATTTGAATAGTCAGGGAACAGGTAAGCGCATTCTCAGTTTCAATATTCTGTGAATCTTCAGCGATTATTCTTATTTTCCAGACAACAATAACCTATTTGTCAAGGTAACCTGAATGTTAATGTATTACTACAAGAAGTTATACCCATATCTAAAAACCCCCATAAGTAGAATATGGAAAAAATTACAATTGCATTTTAATCTCCAAATTTGTCTTGTAAAAGTTACTAATGGTCACAGAAACAAAAAGATTGAAGTCAGTTTATCAGTATTATTTTATTTATTAGCTCATTACACTCCATGGTTTTAGAATAATTCCCTTCTTCCTAATAGGACAAAAATGCAGAGGTGAAAAGGATAATACTTAAAATGTCAGTTAATTATATTTTTCTTTTTGTAATTGAACCAAAAAGAGATCAGCTATTTGCAAATATGGCCAAATAACCAAAGGCAAGGCCATCTTACCTTCTGATGTGTCTGACTGGGACCTGAGACTACAACAGTATTACAGATTGCCAGAGCAAGAAAGAAGTCAGCGATATACATTGTCTCCAAAGATGACTTGCTGCTAGCTTTTTCTGATTGTTGATAGGAATGAAAAGAAATTTGACTGAACTTCTCCAGCAGCTGTGTGTCTGGTACAACATCCGTTTCCTATTATGAAATGAACAAAAGCTTCCATCAGGTTATAAACTTAAGTCTCTGGCGGTTAAATCAGTCACAGACGATTGAAGTGTAGAAGCTCATACCACTTCCCTCCTGTGCTGAGTCGTAATACCAGGAAACAGAGGAACACTAGCATCTTTACTACCTTGTACTAGACCATTGAAAATGCAAAAACTTTCTGCCCAAAGAGGTAAACACTAAAGGCTTAGTTCACAGGCTTAGACACTCCATAAGAGATTAAGTATGACAAATGGTATTTAGACACCTTCAGGTACAGAAGCAGAGTTTTTTCCTCACATTACCTCAAATAAGTATTGACCATATAGAAATTTCCTATTAAAAACAAAATAAAATTATAGAAACCTCTTAAAATAAAAAACCAATCTGTTATTAAATTGCTAATTTCACCTGAAGTGATCATGGATGCAGAGCAGCACGAGTCAAAGTATACACCTTCATGAACCAACATGTGTCTGTAATGTCAGTTGTAAATAGCATGCAACCAAGGCATCATGAGACCTCTGATTTTGGTGGAAGACAGAAAGGATTTCTTAAATGACAACCAATCTCATCAAATGGGAGTAAAAAGAGATACCGTCATGAGTTAATTCAGAGATTTAGCATCAAACCCAACAGGTTCTACTTACAATGGGACTACTGAAAGCCATGTGTCCTGAGTTGGAAGTATCACCTGCTTCTTCTTGCCTTTTGAATGCAGAGAATCTACCAGACAACTGGGTCATAGACTTTCTGTTCAAAGGTTCACACACAGCTCTCCAGTTGTTCCCCTGACATTTTGATGTAGGGGCTGAAGAGCCACACTGACAATCAGCTGAATCCTCATCCTTGGAATCCATCTCTTGATAACATTCCAACCTCTTTGCTAAGGAAAGGGAAACAAAATTATTGTTTCATGAGCAAAAAGAAACATGTCCAAAATACTGCCTGAAGTAAGGAATTAGTTATATAGTTAAGAATAATCCACCATTTATGAAAAATTAAACCTCTAACAAGCCACAATCCACTACACTGTGTTGCTGTTTGAGCAGCATTCTACTGGATTGAATCCAGAAGAGGGAACAAGAATGACCAGAGTTCTGCGTATCTATGAGTCACATAGATACAGTAAAATAAACTGGAGTTACACAACCTCCAGAAGGACACATTGATGGGAGTCAAATGCATGTTCAAGTGAATGGAAATTGCATGGAGATAGGAAATAGCCTGTTTTCTGTGACCACTGTGGCTATCAGAAGACACAATGGCTCTGTATTGTGGCAAGATGGACTCAGGCTAAGTATCAACCAAACCTTGTCAGAGATGAGGGACATATTAGAATGGAATGCCTGAGAAAGCAGTGAATAGAACTTTAGTGGAGGTTCTGAAGAAATAAAGCAAAGAATTTCATAAAGAATAATAGCAACAATTCTGCTTTAGGCCAGAAAACAGGACCAGACTTCTGCTGAGTTTTCTCTGCATTATGTTATGATGGATCAGGATTGTATGTCAGGGGTTTCATATATACAGCTGCTAGCAAGAACTCATTCAAACTCTGTCTATTGGACATCTCCTCACAAAAAGGCACACATTTTCAGAATTTTTAATTGAAAAGCAAGTTTCAATAATCAAACTTTGTCTGGACATGTGTAATACCTTTGTGCCAGAGATGTAAATGCAGTTCTGTTCTTCTCCACAAATCAATGGTGTAAAGAATCTCTGTAGGAAATGGAAACACTCCTATGCTATCATGTGCTTGATTAAGAACATATCCAAGTATTTGCACTGGAGTACTGAGAGTGTTAGACCACATGCCAGAAGTTGAAATCTCTGGAAAGCGCTGGAACTATGAACACTATTCAGCTTTCAAGTTTTACCTGAGCATACACCAGCACTTCAGTGCCTAAAATCCACAGACATCACAGAAAAATTGTTCTGAAAGCTGTGCGTTGCCTATTTGTTTCATTGAAGTCTGAATACAAGCAATGGCACACTAGCAAAAAACCAGCTTCAGCATACATTGCAGACATATTCAGCAACACCACTAATTCCCTATTTCTTTATTTCAGGTGGTACCAACTGCACAGGAAAGAAGTGAAAAGCGGGATATCATTCTGTTTTATGCAAACAGAAAACCTATCCACAGGTCAGTCCCCAGGTCTGTTGCTCTAAATGAGATGGAAATAGGTTTATTATGTCATTTGTGAGTCTTGTATTTTCTACTGTCTTCTCTTTCTGCAACACAAATGAAAGAATCCTGTCACCCATCCTGCTATTCTGATGAGTTCAACGAAACAGAGAGACCAGGACATACACTTTGGCAGGCCATCTTCCTGATATCAACATGAAATTAGTAATATAGCTCTTTTAAAAAACAGGTAAATGGAAACATAACAGACTGTGGCTCTCCACAACTACCAAATACAAAATCCCACATGAGGCATTGATACCTTTTACTAGAAAGCAGCAGCAATGACTTAGTATGTGTTTGTAAAGGCAGGCTTGGACAACACATGCCCATTCTGCTCTGCTTCCAGGCTATGGAGAAGCTGCATGCTCTGTCTGAAGTAAAATGTGGCATCTCTTACAACACCACACTGCTCTACTGACATGGTCAAAGAAGCACACCTCACTTTAGACAGAACACTGCCTGGGGGCATCTCTTTAGAGGATTACATTGAATCACAGGCATCCCTTTACCCTGGGAAATGCAGATAAAAACACAGAAATGTATGTTCAGATGAGGCAGCTTCTATGTAGAAGACCATGTTCCACTGCAACTCTTACCATATGTAGTAAGAGCCTTGCAAACAGCAGCTCTATGCATGTAAACAAATATAAACTAGGGCTAAAAAACAGGACCTCCAATGTTTTTCAAACTGATTTTCAGGGCTCATACAATTTCTAATTTGTTAGGAAGAAATGCATATTTACTCTCCAGGGAAAAGACAGGCCACAGGAGGAAGCAATTATATACATAATCAACACACTAATAATTTTGGAAGATAACTTTATATGAACTACTACCAGAAGCATGTGGAGGCATACTTTCCACGGCACACTGAGATCTGAATCAACCACAGCTGCATCACTCACACCACTCTGGTTTCTTTTCTGAAGTTTTCCATGATTTAGGAAATGCTTTGAAAATATAATGTGCTTTTTATTTAAGTTGTTAATTCATCAAGTTCAAAACTTAAACATTTTTTCTCACTTTGCTGTTGTCATTCTTCCCCGTACAAACCCAAAGAAGCATCTGGGAACCCTCACCATAACAGTTAAAAAAAAAAATATGTGCAGAAATGGCGGTAAAATTTGTCTGTAAAATCTGGTCTTGTGACACAACAAAAGAAGGGCTGAACTGATTCAATACTGTGGCCAGCAGAGCATGCCTTTTGCTTGTAGTGAGCAGTTGTATCTTGCAGCAAAACTATCAAAACCACAAAAAGGGTTTACTACACAGCTGTGCCTCACATGTCCACCAATCACCAGCACCTAACCCTTGATCTCATACGGAATATTTGCGTTGTTCACTACCAAAAGAGCAAATGTCTGCAGACACTGGTACATACACATGGTAATGATAATAAATACTTTGTGGTTTTATATAATTAATAGAATGGCTAATTAAGTCATTCACATCACTCTGCCCAGTTTTCTCTTATGTCTGGAGCTGTACCTTCTCCCAGCTCCCAGAAGACTTCAAGTTGGTTCCCATGAAATACATATGGAAAGATCCTACACTTTTAGACAATAAGACAGCAACTAATCATTACTACTGCTTCTTGACTTTTTGGCTAATAATAAGCAGCTGTGTAAGATCTAAGTAAGACAACAAATGCTATGTACAACAGTCATCTGACTGACTTGTACCTTAAAATTACTTAAATAATGTAATAATACTGTTAAGCATGTATTTAATTTGGGTTACTATATCCTCAAGAGCAGAACTATGTTAAAGTGGAGTCTTAACATATACTACATAAAGGTGGTACACTGCTAGGACAGTCAACAATGTTTAAAGCTTGAAATGCTAGGTAAGCATTGGCACTCTAGCTGGAAAGAAAAAAAAAAAAGATAGGAAAGAGTAGATAGGTAATTTTCCAGTGTTCTGGGTTCTGAATATTCCATGGTGAGAAACAAAACCAAGTAAGCATGACTTCCTTCCACAACAAGTAAAGAATATTTAGTTCATGGTATCAAATATGTTGGAAAAATGATCCAGGTGAACAAAGGTTTAGTGTCTTACCATTTTCCTCATGGCAATACTCCTGTCCTGCAATGGTGCATCTCCGAAAAACCATCTTATTTTCAGTGAGGGTTCCAGTCTTGTCAGAGAAAATATACTGAATCTGGCCAAGGTCTTCAGCAATATTTAGTGCTCGACACTGAATAGTTGAGTCTGTTTTCTCATAGTAAAAATCAATGTCATTCTGTATTAAATAAATTTGTCCCAATTTGACAATCTCAATAGAAACATAGAGAGAAACAGGGATCAAGACCTACCAAAATAAAAAATATAGGGATTAAATAAAACCAAAGTCTCTGGCCAGTTACAAACATGAAGTGCCTCTACTAAAGCAGAAGAGCCACTTCAAGGGTACAAATGAGATCAGAATATGACCATGTTCAAAGCACACCAGTTACCTGTAATAAAATGATCATTGTCCAGAACATATAGAAGCCTGCTAATGTTGGAGGACTCAATTTCCCATCTGGCCCGGGGATGTTAAAAAAAGGTACTTCTGAATACTTACTTAACCAAATTCCATGACCTTGAAAACAAGAACAAGATAAAGTCAATCAGTTTCATTTAAAGTGTATCACAGCTCAGGGCTGCTGTGTTAGCTCTTATACTCTACAGTTCTTTCTAAGCTTTTAAACTACAATTTTATATCTTGGGCTTTTTCCCAACAGGAGTCCCTAGGATCAATACATACATGAAGAAATACCTTACATGCCTTCTATCAACAGCATCTATACAGCACACCTCAGGAACAAAGAATTATTAACTACACTTCACAAACAGTTTTTTCCCCTCCAAAAAATCCCTCTGGCAATTAATTTTGTTATCCTTGCTTGTCCAGGTTTTAGTCTACTAGTGAACACATAATCATGTCATCATTTTAAAGCGTAATCTGAAGAAGTTTTATTAAAGATATTTTTAACATTTTAAAAAATTTTAACATATTTTAAACACCTTTATGATCTGTCAGAAAAGTCAGTCTGTTTAGATTTAGTCAAGTTAATAATTTAATAAATCCCTAAAACATCAAGTCAGTACAACTCTAGTCACACTAGGTCTGTGTATATGCATCTCATGTTACCTGAAAAATCCTAAGAGAAAGTAGGAGTTTTGCAGAACAGTAAGCAAGAAAAAAGATAAATCGAATGGAGAAACAGGTTCTAGACCCCAAAACTCACATCAGAAACACACTTTTTAACTACACTCCAGATCAAACATGACAACATGAACTTAAACCTCACAGAACTCCCAACTTTCAGGAAATTACATATGGATGAAGACTGACAAAATCAGCCCCAAAATAAAACACTAACCACTGTAGGCTGAGAGAGGAAAATAGCAGGAATCTGAGTGATTCTCACTTACCTACTGCACCAGTTAAACACATCAAAAGTAGAAGCAGAACACACCAAAGAATATCGGTGTTCACTTTTCTTTCCAATTTACTGCGCTTGTAATGAGGGCCGCTGTTATTCAGCATAGCTTTAGTTTCATGACCTGCAACCAAAAAGGAGATTGAAATTCTCTAATAACAGGTATCACAACTGCAAGTGCTTTATATTCTAAAGCTTTGGGAAACAGAATATTTCTATTAACTAATATCTGAACAGCCATTATAAATATGAGCAAATAATATTCTCCTACAATACATGAATTCTGTCCTAAAGAAAACTGAACAAGTTAAATCAAAATCTGTCATGTATACATTAACTTTTATTAGCTTACAGTAACTATATTCACTAATATTCTTTCCTATAGAAACAACATCATTCTTCCATAGTATTTCTATGATTTTCTACAAAACCCTACACCTGTGTTACAACTATCTGGCTGTATACATCCTACCGGTAAGTGTAAAAACTTCTGTCCTTTCTACAAATTGTAGAGCAGAACTAGAAGAACAGCACTAGCTTCAGTTTTGGGTAAGAAAAAAGTTCTAAGGAAGTCATGCATTTCCACGTGTATTTCAAAATCTTAGTTTACCACTGCAACTAACAAGTTGAGTTACAACAGATCTGCCCTTCCAGGAATAATCAGAGGGATCCGTTTTTACTGTGAAAACAGAAAAAACCTTAACCCAGATATGCATTCTTAACATTTCTAGCTAAGGCTGCCTTCTGCTGGATTCAAGCTTTTACTCTCCCAATTCCCCTTTGTACAATACTGTTTCTTAGGACATACAACTATCTTGTTTGCAAGGCAGACTGTGAAAGCCAGGGCAGTTCACTAACCTGCATATACCACTATGCCTACCACAGCTTCTGTGTTTCTTACTGTGCATCCTCGGAGCAGTAAGTTTTCCTTGCTAAGACCCACTCGATCCATGTTTGAATGCTCACTATAAAAAAAAGCACCTCATGTCAGCTGTAGGAATCCAGCAATTACCAACCATGCTTTGCAAGACCATTAGGAACAGCTTTCCCAAAGAAGATGCAAGTCACTGACTGCCAACCTGACACGTCTGATAGGACTTTTCAAATGAATGGAGCAACATGAAAGCAGATCATCCTTGAAAATCAGAGCATGTGGGCACTCCATTACAATTTTTTTTGCATTTGTAAGCCGAGCATTTGTCATCTGGCATATGACAAGTAGGCAACACTACTGAAAAGGGGTCCAAGACAAATACTGGAAATCTAAAACCGTATCCTATTTGGATTAGCAGCATCAGAAAATATTTGAAAAGAATATAAAATCTGAGCACCATCAATTCAGAGGTATACTTCCAGTGCAGCCAGGCCTACTCTTTGTCAAGGTGCTTCCTCAGAGGCTAAGATTTATATGTATTTATTTTTATTCTCAAATATCTAATGTGTCAGTGTGCAAAGGGAAAAATAAAGACATTCTAACTCTCAAAACTTGACAACAGGTTACCCCATAAAACAGTATTTTGTTTTCCTATTATCTGTCAAAAGCCATAAACATGTAAGTATCACAAAATCATAGAATGGCTGGGGTTGGAAGGGACCTTAATGATCATCTAGTCCCTTAAGGTCCCTTCCAACCCTAACCATGAAGGAAACTCATAACATAAACCCAGCCTGAAGAAAAGACAGAGATAGGCACACTGGTCAAATGGAGTTTGATCAACTGACTGAAGGTTACACAAAACAAATCAGAGTAGGAAAGGAAGCCAGTCCTTCTGATTTCCAATTCTAAGCAAAGCAGCTTGCAGTCAGGCCATGGTCCAGATCAAATACTATAGATACCATATGTTATGAAGAGGAGATTTAAAATAGCTGTTTCAAGTATAAAGTTTGCAAAACAGTCTGAACTAAGATGTTGAAAATATTTAACACAGAATAAAAAGCATCAGTGACCATCTGCTGCTCAGAAAACCCTTCTGGAGCTCTGTCTGTTGCGCTGCACTCAGAAGCGCAGTGGTGCAAACTGACCTCCATCCATACCATTATTTCTTAAAGCAAATATTACAAGATCTCCTAAAATTAGTAAGAATGCCAAAGCAAATGACAATAGTTTAAAGAGACACCAAGAGCCACCTACTTACACAAAGCCTCGGAAACAACTGAGGTCATTGTTAGGACTTTCACACTCAATTCTACTGGAAAATTCTTCTGGATCAATTTCAGAGACCTAAAATCATGGGAAGGGAAAAAAACCCCAGAGAACTCAGACAAAGTGTGATAGAACTTAAAAACATCATAAATTTAGAGGTTCAGATACTAATATCTAACAATTCAGCCTCTAAACTGTAGGTTGCTGGTGGTGATGATGGTCTCCTACCCAGATTTAGATATAATAAATCAGATTTACATACCATAGGACTTCCTAGTAAATATTAGACACTGTCAAGTATCACTTCAATTGCTGATATTTTAAGAACACAGGAAAGGAAAAAAATGGATAGAAGGACGAGGAGGAAGAAAAAAACGCAAAAGCAGTAAGAACATCTGAAAGGCAGAGATTTCTCATAGATTTTTCTTATTATATGATAATGCAAAAACAAAAAGAAGAGACAGTGTCTTCTCTGCAAGCAGAATTTCTTGCAAACAGATTTTTTTTCCCAATACCATGACCAGGATGGCTTCCATGCTAACACAAAGCAAGCAGGTAGAACTTTGCAATGATATTTGATACTTAAAAGTACCAAAGAAAGGGCTAGGGCTGTTATCAAAGACCAGAACTACATATTGCAAACAAAAAGCAGGTGAGCTCTTCAGTGAAAAGTCAATTGAAACAAATCTCCTGTATTAATAAGAATGAAACATGACAAGAAGTAAGAGAAAAGCCAAAAGCCTCATCTTTGGAACTACCTGCTATTGCAACTTAATTTCATTTAATGTCATACGCTTCTAGTCTCTAGTATAACACAGGCTTGCCTCTAGTATAACTGAGTCATTTTCAAGCTGAGTACCTGCCACTAACTCTTTGGAAAGTCATTTGTTCTACTCTTTTTAAAAAACCCCAATGACCAATTTAAGATTTCAGACTCCCAAGCATAATTCTCTAATTCACAGGTGACATCGAATAGTTCTTTGACATAATTACATCTTTACACGTAAAGACGTAATTACATTACTAATTCTCTGAGAAGGCAGCGTGAAGCTGGATGACTTCACACTGGCAGAACAGCAACTGTGAGCTTAAAACACAATCCTTTAAGTAGAATTTGAAACTCAAAAGACATCATATTGTTATAAGTACTTTGTTAGCTTGATTGAAATACATTTTTGCTATGTTTTGCTGTATTGACTTGTTGCACTGTATTTACCTGAAGTAAATATGAACGCAGCCTTTGACAAGCAGTTACATTCAGACTCTTTGCAAATTTAGATAACTGTGAAAGACCTGTTAACTGACCCTTCTCATGTTGATTTGCATTGGAGGTACAACATTTCTGCAAGATGTTATAGACAGAATACTTGACTGATGCTTCACAAGGAATTTGCACTGCACACTGATTACCCAAATAAGAGCTACTCGCAAAGTGAAATAGCCAAAGCAGTCAGTTACTTTCTTCTACCGTCTGGAAACATCGAAATACCTACTGCTGGTAGAGCTTCTTGCAATATACCTTGAAAGAGCAAGTACTGAAACTCTGGGTGTAATCTATAGTGGACACAGCTATCTACATTCTGCCAGCATAAAATAGAAGTTACAAAACCTATGCCCAAAAGCAGGTGTCTTGATATGGACACTCAGATCTTCCTGGACTATACATTTATTTGCTATATTTTTTCATTATAATAGTAATTTTGGCAAAGCAAATACTGAGAGTAGAAGCCTTTGTACGTTATTTCTTGAGAAGTTTTCCTATGTTTCCTGGTATAAAAGAGAAGATTTTTGAAAATAAAGAAATCAGTCTCTTTCTTGAATGGAACTCAAAGCAGACCTTGATAGCAGGAGCTGTTATGAGAATTGGGCCACCTCAGTATGCTGTAAGCCTGAAGAACCATTAGAATTTTGCTTTATGTAATAATATGCATTTTAAAAAGGATCAAACAGTCCTTCCTGCCTTCCTGTTTTAAGATTAAATTAAAAAAAAAAAAAAACAGAAGTAAAAATAAGAGCAAGCATGTGACTGCTAGGGGATAAGAAACAGCCTTGTTCATGGATAACACATCACACCTCTGGCATTACCACATGCACTGAGTAATGGCACTTAAGAGACAACTTCTCACTTCCTCACCCCTGCTATAAATTCAGAGGCAGTTCAGGGAATTTTATCTCCAGAGGACTAAACTGTCGTTATGGACAACACTAAAGCTCCCTGCTGTTGTTTTAAGCATGGTGTTTCAGCAGCAGAACGGAAGACTACAGAAACGTCAGGATTCTTTAATCTTTTAATATTGCCTTTTTTGTTACCAGCCTCCAGCATTCTGGCTGCTAGGCATAACATTAAAATATGATATAGAGTAATAAAGTTCTTGCAATGTGAAGAAAGGGTGAAAAACATAGTATCAGCTCTGCTCTCTAGGTCTTCATATAGCACAGAAATCCCTTCTAAAAAACTCAAATTTCTCACCCATGACATGTTATGCACCATAAGTAACTACTTGAGGTTTACCTAAATTGTTAGTTTTGCTGGTTTTCATCACTTGAAATAGATCTGTCTTTCTCTGGGCTATGTGAATATACAAAGATTTGCTCCAAAACCATTCAAGCAACAAATTAGAACTGTGTTACCCCTAGTACATTGATTTTCAGATGGGGATTACTGACCTACCATGAATTAGGCACTCTAGAGGGCTGAGTTGTTTGGATTTTTTTAGTTTACCACCTGTCATGTCAGCCTTCTTACACCACTAGAAAAGCACAATTTTCACCTGTTCGGAATATCCTCTCACCACCTGTCTCTGCTTTAGATTGGTTTCTCCATCAAGGCTTGCTGTTTCAATGTAACAGATCCCATCTGGGTCACTAGAATATAACAGCACCATGTCAGCAGGAATGATTTCATTACGTGAAAGCCGGACAAAGTCCCCAACATTGACATTTTTCCAGCACTCATCTATATATTTCTTCTCTCTCCTGTAATACATAGAAGAATAGTGATTTTTTACAAATGCATAAGCTGAAATTGAGAAAAAACTTACAGGTGCTATTTGTGATGGCTCCTACAACATATCAAAAGTGACATTTTCCAAATACTCGTTTTCCCACATGGAAACAGAGCATGCAAAAAAGAAAAAAACCATTCACTATGCTTCCTTTATCTTTGTATTTTATGTATTGGAATATCCTTTTATGACAGGTATAAAGGAAAAATACATGGGCAGCACTCATACACATACTTAGAGAAGTTTTTTGGTGGTTTAGAATATGATCCATTCCTGTCTTTTTATCATCCATGATAGTGACTGCCTAGCAGACTCCCTGGCTGACTTGCACCCACAGTACGTAACACTGCAGTCCTGCACGGTGCAATACAGATGGTAACACTCATACTGAACTGTGTGATGCACTCAGAAAACGACCTTGTTCTCTTTGGGGAAATGGTTTTGCACTATGAGTACAACACGATGCCATTAATAAGTGATAAACTAGCAGCCATTCAATTTCCATGAAGCCATTTTAGAAGAATTAAAAATATACTTTTCAAAACAAATGCTATGTACAATAATGCTTAACTAGTCAATGTACCTTGGTTAATACCATACAAACACATTCATGACCTCATTTGCCTCAAGCAATTTTTTTTTTTTGCCGATTTTACACTAATAACTAATAATACACTAAATAACCATTTAACAAAACTGATGATCGAGTTGCAGTTAGTCTGAGTGAACTGATCTAAATAGCCCTGCTTTGAGCAGGGGGTTAAGACTAAATCACCTGCAGAGACCTTTTCCAAATTACATTATTTTATGCTTCTAAGTATCCAGAAGGTAAGCAAAAGTTATCCCCAATTCTTTCATATGATGGTCATAATCTAATAATAACAATAAACCACAAACACTCTTGTCTCTTACCTGCTATATACCTTGGTTACTAAGTTGTTTATCTGTTTATCCATTTTGTACCTTGAGTAATCTTCTAGGCCATCTTTCACTGCAATAATTGTCAGAACCCCTATCAGAGGTAACATTGTAATTTCTTTTTGGAAGGCTTCAACCAGAGGAACCCAATTTAGGACAACCAGAAATAGGAAATATAAATTGGCAACTCTGAAACAAAGAGAAAACACAGGATTTAACTGTGTTTTAACCATTTAACAGGCAATGGTCCTTTTTTCCCCACTTCATGCTATATAGACATTTCAGTTATCAGCGATTTATCTTTTCTTCACCTGCAATTTGAGGAATAACTATCCAGAACTCTGTTTTTACTCTCCAGTCAACAGATTACTTAGCCACACAATTGTTTAACATACATTATCAGATAATGCAGAAACTGAGAAATTCCTGTATTTTCAAAACTGTCCTCCAAGCACATGTTTTCCATAGTGAGGCACTGATGAACTTTGCACTCTCCAATTTCCAGGTCCATTAAAATTAATTTTATCATCTCTTAGGGAAGATGACATGTTTTAAAAAGGAAGCCATCCTGTAACCTCCTTGTGCAGCTTGACAGATCAGCAGTTCTCCAAGCAGAAGGAAGATGAAAAAAACTGGCAAGACAGAAAGACGAGGGAAGGGGAAAAAAACATTTGCAGGAAATAAGCTGAAAATCCCACTGTCGATTGGTGTGTGGCAGTGCTCCAAGAGCAAGGAATAGTTCAATAGTCCAAAGAACAGAATAAGCGGAAAGTACGTAAGCTAAGGAGAAATGGATTAGCTCAACAATGATGATGCTCAAAAAACTTTGGCCATATAAGATGTATCTTTCAGAAGTGAAAGGTCAGCTGGAGGAATAATTTTTTAATACATACTAACACACAGAAATGTTTAAATAGAAGGATTCAACTTCAGATGAATTACCACAATCACAAAGGAGTTCCTTACCTGTGAAATTGTTCAAATAAATTCCGTGGTAAAAAAGTCAATAAAGTATACCTAGTAGTCCGTATTTTGTTGTTCATGTACAGTTTTGATAATTTTTCATACTCTTCTTTAAAATGTCCCAAACAGGGTATTACTACCCTATGTTTGCCAGTAGTTTTTGACAATTGATAGCACTTGCTACTTGAATTGTTGCTGCTGCATTCTCTGCCCTCTGTTGGTATCAGTCGCTGCCAGCGGTATCGGGCCCAGCGGATGGGATCTGCCATTGCACCTGGAACACTTTACATATAGTCCAAGGAGTGTAATATCTCTAGAAACGTTTGAAAATACAGCAAGTTACACAACAATTCTGTAAAGGCTTTCAATAAAAAGTCACAGCTACAGTTTTGAATAAGCCTAGGGAAAGAATTAATTTTCATAATGAACCTAACCCAGACTGTTAATAGGTTATGTGAGGTCAGAAGTTTTGCTTCAAAGACTGAATTTATCTGAATTTCATCAAACCTTTCAGGATTCTATAATTTGATTACTCTGTTTTAAATGCACAATATTTTTGTAATAGTAGTCCACCCACCAGTTTCTCATGCTGTAGCATGGTGCAGAAAAGGAGACAAGCTGCTAATTCTGCAGAGAACAGCATTTTGAAAGGAATCCTCATCTCAGACACTGCAGTCCATGCTGATGGTTAACAAACCTTCTTATACTCAGAAGTCAACAATTTGGTAATAGGCATCTGGATACAGCCTCCTACAAAGTGAGGACTTGCCAGTGAAAGGCAACCAAACTTCTTCCAGTGAATTAGAAAGAGGTTTGAGAACTTTTAACAACTGACAGAGGATGAATAAATTCCATGTCAGTGCTCCTTTATCCACCTAGCTAAGCTTTAGCATTCTACCCAGGAATTTGTTTTCCTACAGAGAGCCAAAGCTCGTAGCTATAGGTGATACTCACTTATAGCTATACATGTTGCTCACTTTATCAAATCACGCAATGCAGTCAGAAAAGGCCTTTAGTAGAAGCTCAAAAGTGCTGGCTTTTATAATGAAGTTTTTTACAATTTGAAAGTGTTAACTAATGGTTGCTACATTTCTTGTATTACTTCTTCCATAGAACAGTTAATTGTATATTTATTTAAAACTATAAATTGCATGAGCCCAAAATCATCAGTATTTCTCGCTTTGGGTTACATTCCTACCAGTAAGATCTGGTATCTTACTACCTGCATAGATTCTAGCAGAATTTTTGACTAAAATCTCTTTCTAAATTTCCACACAAAAGCTGCTTCTAAATCAAACTAATCCCTACTTTCATTTCAATCAATTCATGTGTATGTATCAGTTCTGTTCATGTGGTATCTTTCTCTTCTGAAAAATGCCACTCTGTCCTGTTCAGATTGCTCCAAAATGTTGCTCTAAATAGTAATTTTCCAAACTATAAACTTGACTATTTTATCCACACTGTCTTCTTGTACATATCTTCCTTGATTCCTCTATTACAACTGCAGAATTCTTGACACATGAGCACAATGCCTTCATCAGGTCCTCTAAAAATTGGGTACTATTCGTATCTCCACATCAGTCCATTCTGTTCTGAAAAAGGAGATTCTTGAAACTTCCTAAAAAGCCAGGATGTCTGTGTCACAGCTAGAAAGCTTTTCTCTAATGGTTATCTGGTCTCTTCATCTCATCAAATTAAGATGGGACATTTTTGTCTTCTCACCATTAGATGGAGATAGCTATTGATAGTGATGGTGTCTTGGAAGACTGTAACCATGTATATGAAAATCATGTTCTTTAGAAACCATGACCTGCACATGAAGGAGAAGAAAAAAACACCAAATCCTCTATATAGCATTTCCTCTCAGCATCCCCTGGCAGTACCCTACTGTGCTTCCAAGGCCTTTCTTTAGTGCTCCCCCAGACATCCTAAGGGACCAGTCTGAGGAAAAGGCTTTCCTTTTTTTCTCAGAACCGAACACTCTGGTCCCAGTAATTATCAGACTACCAAAGGTTGCAAGGGAATGCAGCTACATCTGTGACTTCTTAGAGAAGCAAGAAAGAAGAAGTTGTGAAGATTTCTTAAAATACATGGCATCCTCTTATTTTCACAGAATGCGGCATCTTCTACATTTGCTTCCTCTAATCCTACTGCCTGGGAGAAGTACGGAAATTTAAAGAATTTTAAAAGATGATTGGCCGAAAAGAGGTAGGTTGGGGGTTTTTCCCCTGCAATCACCAATTTTGGCAGTTCAATGACTAAAAAACCCCCAAACTTATGGATTTTGGATGGCATCCTTAAGGCTTGGCCATTTTGAACAAACATCAAGTCTCCTTAATTGTTTCTGCTGCTACAAATCAGTAATTTTAAAAATGATTTTGTACAATGGAAGGCCTTTTCAAATAAATGTTTGCTTTAAATATAACTATGCTGGATTACCAGGGAGAGTTTTACCATAATTTCTTCTGTTAAATTTATCACTCCTTCAAGCTTTCATCTTTAGCATGAATCATACAGGGTGTGTCAATTAACCATGCCTTTGCCCAATAATTTGACATATCTTTACACACTGTTATAGTGTACAATGTCCGAGGAGCAAACTTAAGTAAGTAAATGCCAGGAAATTTCACAAGATGCCACCAGCCAGACACCTGAGAGCAGGTTACATTTGTAGTGAAAATCATGTTTGTTTTCATAAGACCAGGCTAACAAACATCTGATACTGATGAAGAAGGCAGGAACTCTTTCTTGATCTCCCAGGGCTAATGGGTATGCAGAAGCTTAAACAAGAGACCCTGTTCATTCAGCAAAAATTATATAGGCAAAATAATCTATAAAGCTAAAATACACCTCATGAATTTCAAAACCTTCTAAATTCTATTTATTTTTGGTTTACATAATCTATTATCTTTTCTAGCAGTTGATACCCAGTGACCACTATTTCTAAAAAATAAAGCAGCTGGGAAAGCAGGGAGGAAGAACACTGGACATTTTAACACGACAGCATGTTAAGATGGAATTCCTCACTACTGGATGAGGAGCTATTCGTTTAAACTGCATATGCAATGCTGCTGAAGAGCAGTCACCCCTCACCACACACATATCCTCTATGACTCCTCACACAACTCCAAAACCTCTGCCCCACCCTTCCTCAGAGAAGCAGAGCTTAAAAAGGAACAGGAAACATCAGATTCAGTTCCATGCACTGCATGTTTTTGTCAGAATCTCCAGTATTCTAATGTAACTACTTCTAAGAAAACCAAAGATTGTAGGGATGAGAAATAACTAACACAAGCACGCCACACTGGAAACATTGTATGAGAAGTAACAAATAATCTCCTATGATCAGAGAGGTGAATCAGACAATTAACAGATATCCTGGGAAAAGAGTATCTGGCTCTCATCCTCTGGCATATTGCTCTCTGACTCACCTGAGATTTGACTGAGCTACTAGTTTGCAATTTTTTTTTTCAAATAATTTGCATCAGCATTTTAAAAAGCACTTTTGATGTTTCAAACTTCAGAAACCTCTTTTGCATTTCTTAACTCAATTTTGAGTAATTTTATTCTTCTTCATCAATAAATTTGCTTCATAAAGTATTGAACATATTTTCTGTGGTCAGAAGGAGTTTCATCAATTTCATGTTAGACATTTTAGAGGGTAAAGTCACCAAATATCAAATAAAAGCTATTTTAAACAATTTTTTTTTCTCTGAGAAATTAATTCCCTTAAAACATTATTTGACCCTCTTATCATGTTATTTTTCATAGTCAAGTTTTGAGTTCCCCAGCTAATGTGAACTTAAAGCAGAAATACAAACTTGCAGATACTTGAAACACTGGCAAATGATCTACAAGATGTGTTACTCTAAGCACTATTTTTAGAAGTTCATTCCTAAAACATATGTTTATGTTTTAAACCCCCAGGAATAATGTTCCTGTATTTGAAAACAGGAAGCCTAGATGATCACATGGTAAGTTTTGAGGACAGTCTCACACAAGCTAGCCTGTCCTCATTTTCACACTATACACTGTTCAAGTAAACACTCTTGATCTTGCTAAATGGAAACAGCTGATACAGAGGCAGTTCAGGTGTGTCTTACACTCAAAAAGGGAAGTTCTTGTAGTAAGCTTACTAACTCTTACTAACATAATAATGATGAATTGTGGAAGGCAATTATATGACACTGGATTTATTTAATTTCTTTTTGCTTTTTTCTTACACCAGTTCCTTCATGCGATCTGATTCTTTCCTCTTATAATGTAGAGATATGAAAAACTGGAGGGACCAGACATGGTTAACAGGAAATAGCTGGCTGTCGTACCTTTGTTAATGCAAGGCACAACATCATTATTTTTACCACAAGACAGATCAACACTATACACTCTCCAGCCTATATAACAATAAAAACAGGCTTTAAGAACTCTCTGCTAGTGGTAATGCTAAGAAAATCCCTACTTTAAATGGTCTGTACCCTGGAAGAAGGGCCTTGAATCATAAAGCCCCATATAAGCATTCTTTTGTAGATGTATTTCATGTCTGTATGTTGTTTTCTTTTCCCATCACTTCCCTTCCACTGTCTTTTGCAAATTCTGTCAGCTTCTGATTCTGTGAAGTATCACCTGCATATCTGCATGCAAGCCTTTACGCATACCTTTCCTGGTGGGGGATGGAGCTGACACTAAAAATTCCTTAGTTCCAGTTATATATATTGCCTTTGGCAAATCACTTAGCAATCCCTGATCTCTCTCATACTAGATAATTTCTTAAGATCATCAGCAAAACAGATGTGTAGATAATTTAGCCTGTGTTTATCCTGCTCTGGAAGTGCACCTTACTATTATGTTGTGGTCATTTGCTCAGGTGGAGTGTGTTACCATCTTCCCTGGCTTCTCCTAACCACTTCCTCCCTTCTGACAACATCCTTCTCTTTTCCTGTGATCTCCAAATAATTAGTCCTCATTTTTCTTTCAGAAAATTCTTTGTTAAATGTACTTGGTAAATGACATATTTCACAAGAATGCCCCCCCAGACATTTGACACATGCATGCTTATGGTGTGTGTCTCTATCCTGTTGCTTCTCAGGCAGTATGCAGTAGGCTTTTATTTGAGCTAGTTTCCAGGAGGAAGTAATAAATCAATTGCTGGCAAACAGAAATGCAATTTAAAAAAAAATCATTATCTTACCTGAAAAATTTCTACAGCACCTACAAGGGAAGCAGCTCAGACAATAAATCTCCCCCTTAGGTCTAAGGTTCTGGGTGACCAGGGAATATAAAAATGCTATCCTAGATGGAAGTCACACTATACAATGGGGAAGAGTGGATCATCCCAATCCACACAACAGTTCCATTTAAAACTCTTAGCAAGTGTTACTGCACAGGTTCACTACACTACACTAGCACTTTCATCACTACACTGAGAGAACTGTACAGGATAAATTAAAAATGCCTCCTAACCATCTTTTAAAGCTCAGAAGCTAGCAGAAAATGAAGAAGCTTCATGGAACCAGGGCCTGGAAATTAATTTACACTCTGAAGAACAAATACTTTTTTTCTCCTAAGGTTTGCTACTTTCTCTGTAACATGCAATTTCACAAATTTGTCACATGTTTGCAAGCCAATAGGAAATCATCTGAGACATTCTAATATGCCAAATAGATATGGATAAGAGATTTTTGGTGTCAATTTATGGGACAAACAGCCAAAAACCTGCAGGAATCAAAACTTCAAATTGAGAAAATGATGTAGTCATTTGCAACCATATATTCAGAGATATATTTATAAAAGAGGTGTAAGAATTCTTGAATTAAGATGGAAGGCAGATGTTAGTATGAAAAATCAATTGCTGCAGCAGTATTTAGCCATGTACTCCTACCTACAAAATCTAAATTAGCATGGGCAGCACTGAAACTTTGCAAGCCTTGAAAAGCTTTGGATCTTAGAAAGGAAATTTCTTGGTTACGAGTACGTTAAGCCAGCCGTCAACTGCCCTTCACAAATTAATAACCATCAGCAGGATGCATTAAAACCCAAGACGTGCCAAGGCCATGACACAGGGATGGGTGCAAGATAATTTAATAGTAAACCACGCAGTAATACTGGTTAACATACTACAGAGTAGAAGCAGAAAAATATAAAGCAGTATAAAACCAGAAAATCTCCTTCATCTTGGGTAAAGTTATTTAGGATGCTAATCAGATCTTGTACCTACAGACACAACCAAACCATACACTACCAAATTTTAGGTTTAAATTTCAGATGAAATAGTTCCAAAATAAATCTGAGGACTGCTGGAGAGTGATCATCTGTGAAAATATTTTACATCCTTTTCTCCATCAGAAATGTTCTGCTTTATGCCCTGTTCTCATGTGCCACATTGGTCTCAAAACTGTAAACCAAAACCTTACAGTTTAAGTCTTACTCTTTTATGACTGTCTTTCCACACAGGTATATCTTTAGCTTATGGTCAAGCAGCATTTAGTCACTACAGATGCTCTGCTATGTGCGAAATTCACATGAATTTCACAGTTAGACTAAGGTGTGGACCATGTTAAGAATTTATATTGGTGTTCATCTAATGCAGAAGAATGTGATTTTACTTTTTTCTTTTTGTAGCTGTGTACACTCCTATGCTACCATAAATACTTTAAGAGAAATGGATCCATATCGGCAGTATTACTGATTTTTAAAGGGCCAAAACTTTTTTGTGTAGATAAGGTCTTGCATATTCATTGAAACTTATACTGAAAGTAACCTATTAAAGCAAGAAACTGTACTTGAGTTCCTAAAATTCTACAATCCTAGATGAGGTGGTTTCTGGCTAATTTTTTCTATTCTTCTGGTTTTCTAAGACACCTATCAGCTATTCAGAAGTTCCATAAATTCCAAGGCATCCATTGAGGTTTTCAGGTCTAATGCTGCAGGGTTAGAGAATTTTTGACAAAACCAACTCTTGTACAACCTCAGGAAGACAATCAGATTTGCCACAGAGCAATAAAACCTGCCTACTGCTTGGGGATATATTGACAGGAATAACCTGTGAATCCACTTTAACCACTAGAGACTTCCTGTAAGACTCTAAAACATACTCTTGAGATGTTATTTCAAACCTGAAAGTGAGAAATAACCTACAATAATTGAGGGCTCAACTACAAATGTGTATCTTTTAAAAGTTTTTATTAATAAAAATGAAGCCAAAATACGTAGAAGCCTAAAAACAAAATATGCAAAGAGTTAAGAATGCTGAAATTCTGACCCTAGTAACCCCAAAACTATCTAAGAACTAGAGAATCACTGCAGTGAGCAGCTGCACCGTGTTAAATGTTAACACTGAAAATAACTGTTCTCACTACATACTTCCACTCCTGGAAGTCAGTCAGAGTAAACTCCTTCATAATGAGTCTGGTACTTACTGAACCTGGTTCTCACTGATCTGCAAGACCTTTTACTAACTCAAAGATTTCCCAATCCATCATTACAGCTGTGAAAGTACTCACATTGGCACAACCAAGGTGGGACAGGAATTCTGATTAGAGAGTATCTTTGAGTACTCAGGTAAAGCACTTGGCCCCAGTTCCAGTCTAGTTTTCATTAAAACATATATCAGCTCTGGTTATTGCCTTTGTCATTCAGATCACCCAGGGTAGTGGCAATTAACAAAAGAACGTGATCCTCACCTGTCAGTCCTACCTTTTGCTCCTGTAAGCAGTAAGTGCCCACACACTAAGTGTAAAAATTCAGTCTCAAGCACTGTCTTCAGGCCAGCTCTGGAGTCACACAGAAGAGCTAAGTTCATTCAATTCCACTCCAGTCCTAGGTAAACCACTTAATGCCCTCTCTGCTGGAAACCACCACTAATGAAAACAAGAATAATGACAATTCTGTTAACTTTTGGTTATATATATGTGAAGATAAGTATGTTTTTAAATAAGAGGTTTGTCAACACTATGGTCATTGGGGAGACACAAATATTCTATAAGTATTGTTTTTAAGTATTAAAATAATAGTAATTTTGATATTAGAAGTACATTTTTCTTCAGTAGCTGTCTTTCTGATATGAACTTGGATTATTCTTTCCCATCTTTGTGAATACTTTCTATAATTCAGTTCAGTAACTACTGCTGTGATCCAATCCTGTGAGTGAACACGTGCACTCTGCACACCTCCGTACTTTCCTGAAGTTTCAGGAATTTCCCTGCGATTTATATGGATTTAAATCTACTTTCTTGTCATGACTCTGTGAAGCAGTAAAAAGCTGACACCTCAGTCACCACCGCGAATTGTTAAAACAAAGACTTTTGTTTCTGGAGGCAAAGTCGAGGAGATGAACATAGAGCGGCGGGGGTGGAGGTCATTGGTGGCCCAGGGGACTTTCAAAAACATAAACCCACAACTCGTCCTTTTCCACCGCCCGCGACGCTGCAGGCACGGCCGAGTTTGGCGGGGCCGTTCCGGCGCCGGCGGCGCTCTCCGGGCGGGCTGAGGGGCTCTCCGGGCGGGCTGAGGGGCTCTCCGGGCGGGCTGAGGGGCCTCCCCGCGGCCGCTGCTCCCGCCCTTCCCCGCCTCGTCTCGCCCCGCGGCCCGGCACCGCTGTCCTCCCGCACCACCATCCACGCACCCGACCCCACGGGCGAGCTGCCCCCTGAAACCGCTCCGGACTTACCGACGGAGCCGCGCACATCCCCGGGGAATGGCCGCCACCCGCCCCGCCCCGCCGGTTCTGCCCGGCCCCGCCCGCCCCCGCCCCACCTGCCCGGCCCCGCCCGCCCCCGCCCCACCTGCCCGGCCCTCGCCCGCTCCGTTCGCCCCGGGCCCGTCTGATCCTTCTCCCCGAGGCGTGCCTGAGGCGGGACCCGCTGGCCCGAGCTGCGGCCGGGGACCCTTCCAGCAGCGGCTCCTCCGCACGCCCCACGCCTCTGGGTGAGGGAGCTTTGCTCTCTGCCATAGGGTCCATGAGGCTTAGTTAGTTATTGTTTGAAGGTTTGTTTTTTCTTTGCCTTAAGGCCTCGGCAGGCGGAGTTTGGGGTAGCAGTATGACTGTTACAGAACCTGACACCCTTGACAGCTCTAAGGGAAACTGATACTCTTACTTTTTTACAGTCATTTACAACAGTGAAGGCAGCTTGGCCTGTATAAACATCACGTTTTCTAGCCACTGGGCTAATCAAGGTTAGCAAACACTTCCTCTTGTTTTTTTAGGAAGTAAACCTCTGGCTGTTGGAAACTGCCCAGATTTTCTTAAACAAATCACTGCCTTCAGGAACTTCAGTGAGTTTTTTCATCAGTAGCCCTTGTGAAGTTCCATATTGTCCTTTTTGATCTTACTGCCTTCCAGGGCACTTTTGAAGGCTGCCTCTTAAAACGAAATCACATGGCCTTTTACATAAAAGTGAAAGGATTCCTGATTCAAGACCTTGTTCTGCTGAAAAAGAAAGAAGAAAAAATCCACCAGGAAATGTTACCTGCAGATCTCTTGGTCCCCATTGAAATAGACTGGGGTTACCAGTACTTGTCTAGTGTCAACAATGAATTCCTTACACAGAGCTGGGAGGGCTGTGCTGAGCAGTGGTACTCGGTTGTGCTCTCCTTCCCATCTATGTGCATGGCATTGTTTTCCCCTGTTTCCTGCATTCTAGCATGTCCTGCACCCTGACCACACACTGAAAACATTTTGGTTACATTCAGTGAACAGCTGTTGATGGTCTTCTTTGGAGTGCCCATGTGGCTAGTAGAAATTTCAAAACATATTGGCATGTCAAATGGAATAAAATTCTACATGAAGGAAGTCTGTAACTACTGCCTTGAAATTACATAAGCTCTTCTTGGCAGAAAAAGATGTGGAGTTCTATTTCTTTGCTGGATCTACCAACTTTGCTGGCTCAAGTGATGTAGGAAAGAGGAATCGGCTCTGGGGAGGGCAGAGAAAGCTGCTGCAAGACATAAGGCTTTGCCAAAACCCAGTTACTTTGAAGTGATTTAATTGGTTACCATTGATTTATTGGAACATTCAAGTTGACAGAGATGTTTGACAAAGATGAGCCTATCACATAGTTTGTCACCAACCACAGCTACTGTAATCCCACTGTAACTGTAAATAGTATTCAGAGTCTTACATTTCCCATTCATTTTTTTGATGCATGACAGTCCATTCTGAAAGCCTGCAACTATAAAAGGCATTATTTTGCTCGCCTTGTTTGTGCAGCAATAACAATTGCCTCAATTAGGCCACTACATAGGCAAAAATACCTGACCAAGCTGTAAATGAGCTACCCTGGCTGCCAGAAAGAGCACAGCTGCCTTAGTGCAGCACTCTGTATACTTTAATTAGATGTGTTGAAGCAGAGCATGTGAGCTGTTTGGAGAGGTAAGGCTGATCAGGTGAGTGGGAGGCATTGCTGACTCCTGACTTGGCCATTACATACACATTTGCACTTTTATCCTTCTGTACAGTTATCCAGTAGTATGAATGGTCTTGATTCCAAGCATGCAAAGCAACCATCCAGCATGCCTGAAATGTAATTAAACTGTCCTTTCCCAGGTATCCTGTGGAAAAGTAACTACAAAGATCATAGTCCCCAGAGATAATGCTTGATTGAGAAATCTTACTGATAGCTTTTCTGTGTGGAGCTAATAACACTGAACATCCTTGAGATACCTATCCCCCGCAGCCCCGCAAAGTTACCAGGCTAGCCCAGATCGGTGAGGCCTTGGGGGGAAGTATTTCAGGAGCAAGGCAAAGATTCCAAAAGAAGTTCCAACCCCCTATGTGGTCCAAGATGTTTATTCCATGGGAGGAAGAGGGAAAGAGAGGGAGCAAGGAAGGGACAAAGCCTTATCTAGGCTCAGTACAGGAAGGATACTTGGCTCCCAGCCAACTGGGTCAAGAAAGGAAGGGTTAAACTAACATGGTCACAGCTACAGGGGTCTCTGGGGAGGGAAAAACCATTCCCCAGAGCAATACAACACATCCTCCACACGGATATATCCTTTTTTTGTTTCCCCGCAGATCTGCAGTGTTTTTAATATAATCTCCTGAACCGCCACATGAAAAAGGAAAACTTTGAAATTCAGGTCATCCTGAAGTGTAGTGGCTATTACCAAAAGAATGTGATCCTCACCTGTCAGTCCTACCTTTTGCTTCAGGCCAGCTCTGGAGTCACACAGAAGAGCTAAGTGAATCAAATTCCACTCTGATCTTAATGCCACTACGTGCCCTAAACCACTTCTCTATGGTGCCTTCTCTGCTGGAAATCACCACTAATGAAAACAAAAATAATGAAAATTCTGTTATCTTTGTGATGATATGAAGACAAATATGTTTTTAAATTAGAAGTTTCTCAACACTTTGGTCATTGATGAGATGTGAATACCCTGTAAGTATTTGTTTTAGGTACTAAAATAATTTTGATATTAGAAGTACATTTTTCTTCAGTAGCTGTCTTTCTGATAAGAACTTGGATTATTCTTCCCTATCTTTGTGAATACTTTTCATAACTAAATCCAGTAAGTATTATCGTGGTGCAACCCTCTAAGTGACCACGTGTGCTCTGCACCCCTCCACACTTTACTGAAGTATCAGGAATTCCCCTGACTAAAGTCCAATGACACAAGAGCTGTTGATGACTCCAAACCAGTTGCAGTGCTCTTCATGTATTTCAAACTCTCTGTCTGTTCATAGCTGCAATAACTCTGCAAGTACAAGCATGAACAACTCAGCCTGCCGTGCTCATACAGGCACTGTTTGGGACACATGAAAGAGGGGAACTCGTGAACTGCCAACTAAACATGTTGGCAGACTAAAAACTTTCCAATGAAAACCTGAAAGGAAGAGGGAAGTTTGCCATACCATGCTATCAAACATTTCCCAGAGCACCTCAAGTTAATGGAATGTGAAAACCTGAGTATGATTCTTCTCTGGGAGAATCTCTTCCCCAGAGGAGACTCACACCAGTGATAATTCCAATGCCAAATCCACATAAACAGCAGTGCCAGTGGGGATTTGGGGTTGTAGACATTGATGGTTATCATTACTGCAGTGTGTAATCAGCTTAGTGCATTCATATGAGGTTGGGGGAGGGGATGTACTTGAGAGATCCAGTGTGTATTTACAGGTAAATAGTGACATATTATGATAGCCACTCTAGTTCAAATACATTTGAAGATGTGGTGGCATATTAATAATAACTTATAGCCAGAAAGGGAATTAATTATTACCCAGTAATTTCAGATGTTTTACTTCCTTAGCTCTGCAGTAAACTCAAACAATTTAAATGGAGCAGAGATTTCACAAAAAAAAAAAAAATCCCTTGAATTTTAAATTACATTGAATTATTGTTTACCAAGTCATTGGCTGGTAAATATGTGTTTAGAGTCCTAAGCAGTGCTGCCAGTGCAAATTAAAGCAGTCTGTTGTGCTTATCACTAAGGTAATTTCTTACAAGATCCTCAGATATATTTCCTGGCAAGACCCCTGGAAGACAGATACACAGCGAAGAAGCAGCTGTTTATCTGCTCTAGTCTGTGTGTGGCCGTAGCCTTTATATACCATACACTGTATAGATCTGTACTGGTTTATTGATTTCCTTGGGAGGAGATTGTTTTTATCACTGGAGTGAGCATTTTATAAATAGTCATGAATTTTCCTTCACCGCTCCCTGTGAGACAAGAAGGTATTACTGCTTTCAGGTTACAAATAAAAAATTGAAACAAGGGAGAATAAACACCACAATATGAATGTGTTTGTTAGTGAATCTGAGTCTACATGCTCAGTTTGAAAGATTAAGCGTTTGTTTTAATATTTTATTGTGCAAAATACATTCTGTGTAAATTATGTACAAATTGAAATCTTGAAAGAGGTAGATTTGGATGAAAATATTATTGTGGGAACTTTCCTGAAAGGCATTTTCAGGGTCATTAAATCCTTGTAATTGCAAGAATGCCATACAATCTGTTTCATAAACTGACTGAATTTTTCTAAAACTAGTTAGGTATTTTGCTCATATTACTCTACTAAAAAAATTGTCCCAGAATTTGGTTGCTGTGAGAGTTAAGAATTATCTTGTAGCTTCTAAACTCAATTTCATACACAGTTGTTCATATACCAGCAGTGACTACTGCTTCCATTAAATAATTCTTTTCATTCCTGGTGTTTATCAATCCACCTTTGTTTTGCTAAAGTAAACCAGATAAGAATGAATCATATCAAACTGACCAAAGGCTAACTAAATTTTGAATAAAAGTATCCAGCCCAAGGTGTAATGCAGTTTAACAATCCATTCAGACCTTAATTTTTGATAAATTGCTGTGATGTAGCTTGTGTAGACAAGTTTTAAGGGAATAACTGACTAATACTTACTCATGTAGTCCTCATACTTTGCTCGTGATTTATACCACTAAGTTTAGGCAACTGCGCAGTGGAAAGAATCAGGAAACTGGCATTAGATGCCAGTTCTGGAGAGCAGTTACTAGCAGTCAGTAGCAGTTATTATTATTGGGATAGGACTTACTGATTGTCACTCACTGTGGTCTGGCATTGTGTGTACTAGGAACCTCCATCCTGAAAGACACTAAGATGAGACTTTTTGTTCTAGAGATTTTCATCTTATCTATTCCACAGAAAGTAATTATCAGCTGGAATTTAACAAGGAATATGAAAGTCTTCCACTTTTAAGAGGCTCTGAATTAACAAGACAAGCAGAAAATAATTTAAAATGAGATACTGTCAGCTTACTGCTGAGGAATTTACGTCTTATCCTGACATTTTTACTTCATCCAATAGAGAAGATGAAGTGGTAATTTATGGGGAGTCTCCAGCTTCTAACAATCCATATTTACTCCCTGTGAACTAACACAGGCCCATTGAATAAGAAGACAAAAAACTAATCCTGAAAAAAAGGGAACACCATGTAATGCTGATACTTGTGGACTGATAGAAAAGTGTGCATGATTGGAAAGTAGTTTCAGCTAAGTGGAATTGCACATAGGCAGATTGATGCACTTGGAAAATTGCTTTATTCCTTCTTTTACTGTTTACTCTGATGTGGCAATTTCCCATGGCTCATCTTCAACCTTATCTATCTAACTTGTCACTAGCTGGTTTACACTATTGCAGTTTAATTGTGTGTCAAAACACTTTTGATATGCACCTATGATATGTACTTATGTGCTTTCCTTTTCATTGGATATAGAAGCAAGTTGACTTGTTGAATTTATCTGGTCCACAAATAACCTTAATTCTACACTGTCTTTTTATCAAACCACTTTATCAGTTAACAAAAGGACCCAAGTCAGTGATATCAAACAAAATATTTAGTAACTGTTGCTTTTTTTCTCTATCTTTGAATGTATAAAGTTAATGTCTGTGTTATAATATTTTTCAAGTTTTTCTGTAGTTTTTCTAGCACAATTTCTGCTGGACAGTGACTCCAACCTGCCAAGCAAATTTTGTCAATACTCTAACTGAACTACTTATGTCCCGATTACTATATCCATTTATTGAACAAATAAAAATAATCGAGTAGGTAGATATGAAGATACCACTTAGACTTTGGATTTTCTCAGGTATTTTTCACAAGGAAAAATCTAACGCTGGTTTCTCATAAAATGGTACATTTAAGGTTAGGAAACCTAGTATCAGATTAAAAGTGTTCACAAAACACCACACTGAAAATAAATCTAATTTTTATGGTTCATGTATAGTTAAACATTTTTGAAGGTGAAACTTTGCCCAGCAGACATTATATCTGATCATTTCACCTTCTAGAGCCAGTGTAAACCAAGATAAAGTCTAAACAAAATAGATCAAATCTGAGACAAAACACAAGTACATCTATAGCTAACTTGGAGGAAATGTTACCACATGGATGTTTCTGATTCACTTGGTGAGCCCAGTGCATCACAGATCCAAGATGAATTAATGAAAAGCCATACCCATGGTAAAGACAAGAGAGATTCATACTTTCACATGTATTGTAGGTCAAGTTCAAATTTAGAAGAACGCCCATAGTTTTACTTGTAACCTACACTATGTGACAATATTAAACCAACTGCTCCTTGCTAGAACTTTGTCATATATTCCATTGTAAATAACAAAAGGAAAACACATGTCTGTTTTCAAGTGAAAAATTTCTATTTTATCCTTATTTTGCCCATATAAGGAGAAGAATTATTTAAGGAAAACTAGGAAAATTAACATAAATGTAAATTTTCTGGTTTAAGTTGCTCAGTGTTTCTCTAGAAATATTCTCCAAATTGTGAAATTAAAATTTCTTACTACATTCTTTATTGTATCATCTAGAAGAACAAGTAGTTCATGTTTTCATAATGCAAACAAATTTTCTAGATAGCTCTTCTCTAGAATTTGCTCCACAGTAGCTCTAAATTATAAATGTCAGCTACTTTATTGAAAATTAAAAATACCTCTCCTGATGTAATAACATCAACCCTTTGAAAACTTAGTGTGAGCAAAATAGTAATCAAAATACCATTTTCACCCACATAAGATCAATTATTTTATTCATTATTCCTAATAGCATTTTTTACCATTCATATTGCAACAGCAAACCCTATTTGTATGTAGCATTTTCCTATGTACAAAACTCTTGCACTTGTGCATACCCTAGAGGGCTTCCAGACTTTTTTAGATGGTTGGTAGTGTTTTTTGGAAAATTAGAATTTTTTTATTTTTACTAAGAGAAATTACACACAGGCAAGCTGAGATATTTAGATTGGTAGAGTGTCTTATTCATCAGCAACTAAGCCATGAGAAAATTTCCAACACAAAAAAGTGCCTCTCTTCTTTTTGTGTCTTTGCTAATTTGAGACACTCTCAAGATTAAAAAAAAAAAAAAAAAAAAAAAAAAAGGGGAATTGCAGTAATATATTTACAGTAATATGATTCAAAGTACAATTTGTTGCAGGAGCCATGAAGGTCACAGGTCACGTGGTCATACAATTGCAGCAAGAGTTAGCAAAGTTTGAAAAGCTGGTAAATATGCAGAAGCTGTCCAGAACACTGACAATTGTGTTTAAAAATATAGTTTTCAAATTAATACTTGAAGAGTCAGCTTTGAGCAAAGTTGTTACTTTCATAGTATTTGTTTTGGTATCTTTTGGGGAAGCCTATTACATTGTTATTTCCCATGCAAAAGACAAGAGCAGTAGGAAGTAGAGATGTGAAAAGCTGTTCCATATAATTTAGAAACTGCAAAATAGTCCAAAAAAGTCTGGCTAATACAATGTGCTGCCAAGCTGGACACAGACTGACAAGACTGAGAAAGACTTCTAAATCACAAGGCCATTTTGTGAGGAATTCCTGGAAGGAAGTAGGCTTTATTTGCCCTCGAAGAGATTTAGTCAAAAAGCACTGCTGTGCCTCACTATGGATATATCTGTATACAAACTGCTTTTTCTTAGTCTGTCATAGTTACTTTCTCTTTATATGCCCTTGGTTGAAATAACCTCTGTCAGCAGAAAAAGAGTACTGCCAGTGTAACTTTCACCAACTGCTGTTTTCATTTCATTTCAAAATATGATGTGATAAAAATAAAATCCATAGTAGCTGTAATAGTAGCTCTCAACACAGTTATATAATAAATACAGACCATTAAGTCCTTCTGTAGATGTTTGTAGTCGGGTGTTTATTATTTTAGGAATACTTTCTTCCCACTGCTATTATGACGTGTTGGTACATCCTGCTATGCAGCATATTCCAGCATCTACTAATTATTGTTTAGTACTAGGGTTAAGAGTTACCATACTCTACCTACTGGGCATTTTCTTTTCTGTTTTATGATGTTCAAAATTTTTTGAAAAGCACTGACACATTCTTACCATTCACTATTAATACTGAAATCTTAAGGTTAGGCTTGGAAAAGCAAGGGAGTGTTTTGGCTTAGTTTTTCTACATCTGCCCTAAAAAAGATTGCTAATTTTCTGTTGTTGTCATTTTGAATTCCAGACATTACAATAATTAGACCTGAACATTGTGAGTAAAATCTCAGTCCTGATGTGTGCCTGGTGTTCAGTTCACCTAGAATTTTTAAATATGAAGAAAGGTACATAGAAGGATAGAAATGGCGACGATAGATTTTTCTTTATAAGATGGTATCAACAGAGAAGATAAAAATAACTTTCTAGATGTTCCTAAACATGGGGTAAGAAATAAAGGGTCTGAATTGTAGAAAGGGGAGTTAGGAGAATATTCATAATGTTCTTGTAGGATGGAAGATGAAGACTCCTCCCTCTCCAATCAAAGAAGCTTATGCAAAGAAGTGTTCCTTGGGGACCGGAGAGGAGAAGCAGGGTAGGTCTGTGAATGCCCAGCTGCTTACAAGAGATGGTGACCAGTGGTATTCATGAGCAGAGTCACAGCTACTGACTCCAGTTTGTCTTCTGAGCTGTTGTTTTAGTGGGTATTTGGCTCAAGTCAACTACAGGCTCCTTGTAGTACGTAGGATGCCACTTTTCTAGTCTAAGCTATTCCTCTGCCTCTGTCCTGCAGAACAGTGGGTGTGACACCAGCTCCTGTCCCTTCTGTTACCTCAGCCAGGCAGGTGTTGAGAGGTGCATAGTACAGATGTTTTACAAATCTATAATATTAACTGATTTCAAGTAATGTGTACAATATCTTTTCTTCTGCTACTTCCAAGTATGCTTGGAGTGTTTCCAACAATAGCACTTCTCTCTCAAGATCTTACAGTGTAGCAGAGCTCTTTTGAATGATCTCTTCAGTATGCTTTTGTCTGTGAAAGGCAGTACAAATTTCAGTGTATAAACTGTGACTGTAAGGGGTGTTGAGCCACAGGCATGTCCCTCAGAGCTATTGCTAGTTCTTCAATGCTGTCTGTGGGAAGGACAGAACTGCTACAGAAACCAATAAGATGATTTTGAAATATCAGTGAGAAGTGAATTCAAGAACATTTAAGAAAGTTCCTCTTGTTACATCTCTTACTGGAAAAAGGAGACACGATAGAGACAAGCGTAAAGCTGTACACAGACTTTATCCACAGTATGCATGACACACTGTACTCCTCATGTCTCATGAGTATTATATTTACTGAATAGGGACTGAAAGAACCAAAACTTCTCATGGTTTTATATGTTCAAAATTTATAAGTAAAATTATTTGAGAAACAGATTTGTCATTTGGAAGGAATTATGATTACAGATTATGAACAGCAAATAGGTGATAAAGTATGTTATGCACATCAGTGTCATGGTCATTCAGCCTCACTATGAACTTCACTGTCCCATCAGAGTGTAAACATTAAATAGAGATAAGTTATTTTCAATCTCCTTCAGCTGCAGCATATCACTATGACCATGATTATATGTAAGTGTCGACAAAAATTTTCAAGGTTCCTGGTTTAATAATTAAAGTTCACTGATTGATATTCATGTGTCAACCAATTTCTCCTATGTATGGGCTACCAGAAGGGGTATTTTTTTCTTACCTCTCAGTCCCAACCACAAAGGTCACTTCTGTTAGAAGTGGTGCTCTGTTCGCAGTGGAAATCTAACCCATGGGAAAAAAAAAAACCCAAAAACAAAAATAAAATTACTTTTCATCTACATCAGCTGCAGTTTCATCCTGCAGCCCCAGGCACCCTAGTGCAGGCATGAGGGTCAGGGAGAGGAAGCAGAGCTGGCAACAGGGACTAGGGGGCCAGTGGGACCTGCCTTCTCCACAGCAACCCACCTTTAGCTCAGCATAATCTCAACTGCAGTCTCAGATTTTGCTCTGCATTTTAAAAAAGCCTTTATTCTCCCCTTTGTGTTGGTAAAATTTTACCCCTTTGTGTTGGTAAAATTTGCAGATACCTATTTATTTCTTTTGACATACCTGTTTAATAGTTCCTTGTGGGACACTTATACTGGTGCTTGGATATTCTCCCAAGCTGGATATACTTAGAGCAATGTAAAACACTATCCTACTATATTATGTACACATTATTTATAGCAATTATTATATTTTATATATATTAATATATAATTATTACTATATTGTTATGATTAATATATGTTACTATAATATTATTATAGTAACATATAATGGTTATTTCCTCTGGTTATTAAGTTATTTCACAATGTTTTAATTAGTGACATTCTTCCAAAAACAAGGGCAACAAATGTATTGATCTTAAAATGGGTTTCATGACTGTAGTTTAGCTTGTGGGTTATCTTTATAAGCAAATAAACCCCTCTACAAGTCATCAGCAATGTGGATAAAAAAATGTGAAGTTCACTCTACACTTTTCTCTCATAAAATAGCTTCTTTCCTTGCTGCTCTGAAAGCCTTGCCTATGTACTTACTGTTCTACAAGTTTCCCTCCCTGATTTTGTGGTTATTTGAGAGCTTAACTTCAAGGGGTGGTGTGGGTTGATACTGCTCTGGTACAGAGGCATGAAAACCAAGTATTTTTAAAGGTTAAGACTTGATGGCAGATCCAAATAATGCAGATCCAAACAAAATCCGAACTGCCAAAGGCCAACTTTATATCCCCTACTTCACTGCAGTTGAACATGAGCTGCAAAACATGGATTTATAACCCATTTGTGGTTTCCTCGAGCAGTCTGACTTTGCTTCTCATGGGCCAATAGGCTGAATCAAAAATAATTACTTTTAAACTACATATATGTGAAAAATGCATAGTGAAATTCTTTATTCTTCCGACTGGGAAAAAAATAGCTGTTATGAAAATGTTCACTGGGATAGTGTCACATGGGATGACAGTTTTCTATCCTCTTCTATCTGTTCCTGTCGTCATGTGTTACATTTTTGCTCTCTTCTATTTTTCACTTATTTGATCCCTTTCAACCAAGTGGGACACTCACTACCTTTCTCTTTATTTCGTAGATTACTTCATTGCAAGTCTGGATCACCTTCGTATTTCTCCTGTTGTCTCTGGGTTTAAATTGTTGGAGCAGCCGCTCCCCCTGGTGCTCTGTTTTGTAGCGCACAACACAGTACAGTCAAAGTAGGTACGTTCCCACTTAATTAACAAAAAACAAAAACCAAACCAAAACAAAAAAAAATTCTAGGGGAATAAAGAAAATTAGTATTGAATATAATGTTTAAAATTTTAAAATTTTAAATTTCATCTACTCTTTTAAACAGCAGCTTTGAATATTTTTTCCATAATAACACTGAATAAATTTTCTTAAAAGATTAATCTACTAGCAGTAGCAAACCCTAAGGAAAATGGGAGGAATTTGAAAGTTTTCAGTCAGCAAAACCTGAAGTCGGTTCTTCCCCATATATTTCTTCTCCAAAACTCCCATGCACCAAATAATTCCCACACAACCACGTACCTGGCTGTGAAGAAGCTGTGCTGCAGACTGACTTAACCAGCTTGGGTTTTTTACACAGACCTTCTATCCACCACATCGCACTTGTAGCTGCTTTGGTATTCGTACAGCCCAGTACATATGCATTGACTGTTTGACAGCCTTGCGATTTCAGTGAAATAAAGTCTGCCTACAGGTATAATAGTCTCTGTGCAGTTTTGTGACCTGCTATGACTTGAATTCTTACAGGTTTTCTCGTAAAAGCAATCAAGGCGATTTTAATTCTTTGCATTCACATTCAGTGAATTCAACACATGGAAAAGCCACTGCTAATGCAAAAACCTATTACATAAACCTCCTCCACTGTCTGGCTAGGATTTAAAATATGAGCTCTTCACGGTAAACACTGTACAAGCAACACGGGCTTCTGCAGTCTGTTCCTCCTGACTTCCTCAATTTGATTTAATATCCCAGATATGGTGGCCGTTTTAAGACTTGATCTTCCTCTCTTGCCACCAAGTGCAAATTTAACCTGTTAAGGGTCAAAAAGCAAAGCTGCAAGCTTTGCAAAAAGCAAAGCTACAAGGCAGAATGCAAAACCAGCTTAAGTGTTATTGCCTATAAAAGCTTGTAAAATGAGAGGGGTTGCGGCTTCACTCGCCGTCTGACCGAAGGTCGCACAGGGCACGCTCCATGCCCAAGCGCCCCGGGCGGCCGCGCCGCCGGGGTGGGGCTCGAACCCGCGTCTTGGCGCGGAGGAGGGCGGGTGTTGGCACATGCGCATGCGCGCCGGCGGGGCGGTCACGAGGCGGCCGGGCCGGGCCGGGCCGTACCGTACCGTACCGTACCGGGAGATGGCGCGGCCGCTGGAGAAGCTCCCGCCGGAACGGGCGCTCCAGGTGGGCTCCCCGCGGCCCCGGGCGGGGCAGGCGGGCGGGGCTCGCCGCGGGCGGGCACCCTTGAGGGAGGCAGGGCCCGCCGGCGGCGCGGGGCTGCGGCGCGGGCCGCGCCTCCCGCCAGGCCGCAGTGCCACAGGACTGTGCTTTGGGATGCTGGGGCGGCCCGGGGGCTCGGAAATGCGCGGCTTGGGCTGTGCTGTGCGGCCCGGCGGTGCCGGGGCGCGGGTGGCTGAGGCCACCTTGGCTCGGCGTCTCGGCAGGACCGTAGCTGTGCTCACAGCTGTTCGTTCTGCATCTAAGTCCTGGGTGAATGTGAAGCGCGTTGTGATTTCACATGCTTCATGTGAACTGGACTGAAGTGAACTCAGTTGACATGAACTGCCTTTAAGGGGAGAAGGGAGGACAGTTCACATTCAGGGGGTTCCTGTTCGCATCCAGAGAGTAACTGTTCACATTCATGGAGTTCCTGTTCGGGGCTTTTTTGAACGGTGTCTGGGCTGCAGACTGGAAGCACTGAGGTAGTCCCTCCCAGTGGAGGGAGGGTTGATAATTGAAGTGCTTGATCAGTCTCATATGAGGTATGGATTAACCGTGAGAGAATTATAAATTATGTATCACATCGTTTCAGTTCTTTCATAAGATAGTTGATGGCATCTGTGGCCGTGCGTACCCTCGATACCAGGATTATGGCAATGTTTGGAGCTTGTCAGAATGGATGCAGGTTTTAGAAGAAACTACGACGTATTTCAAAACTGCAGTTGGCAAAAATATGTCTGATGAAGAGGTAAGGGCTCATCACTGATTAGCCTTGACTTGGGGAGATCAAGACTGGAGTGATTTGTTTTGTAGTTTGTTTAATCATAAAATATTTTAATAGTGTAGGATTTGAATGGTAGTGGATTCAGCCTAAGTAGGTAGAAGGTAAGCAGCATCTAGAGATACACTGCAGGACTTCTACAACTAAAAGTTAAATAGACACTGATTTTTAAATATTTTTCTAATATCACAGGATACTTGTTAAATTGGTATTTTGAGTATCCCCAGATTAAATCCTTGTCTATAATACTGCTCATTAACAATAAAACCAGTTCACTTTCTTGTTTGGTTTTCTTTATTTATTAGTACTGCATTGAAGTGGTGTAAAATACTGACTGTATGTAAATAAATCTTGTAAAAAATTTAAGTGTGAATGGAGGACCATGTGGTACAGGGACTGTAATTCAGGGCATTCTATAGGTATGACCTTCGCAAAAATCTTGTTCTATTACTAGAAATATTAATTCTCATTTCTTGCATATTGCTTGTATTTTGACCACGTGCTAGCAGCTGGGTCAAAGAAAGGCTACCTGTGTAGCCTGGGGGACCTCCCTACATCAGTGTTTCTGTTTCAGCTGAGCTGAGCTATCTAGTCTCTGCCCTGGTCCTGAGAAACTTGCAGACCTAAACCTGAGTTGTTTGGGGGTGTGATGTTTTTTTGATTTCAGGGTGGCATATCAGTCAGAAGGCTGATAAAACCTCTGCTCTCTGGTGTCTTTTTTAAATTATTTTTTTCCTTTGTTTTTTTCCTCTCTATGTTGCTTTGGTAAACACTGACTCTTAACTATTAAAGACAGAGAGCAGCCACAAAGGGCAGCTTAGATATTTTAGTTATTGCAGGTGGTACATATTAATTCTGTGGTTCATAGTGCAAGTAATCACGGTTTTAATTTTTATTTTTGTAGGCTGCTCAGCAGATAATGGAGTTAAGTTCAGATTATCAAGAAGCAATCACAAAATGTCTGAAAGGTAGAAAGGAAGAAATCAGGAATGCCCTAGTAGAAAATGTACATGCAATCTCTTCTGCCCAGCTGCAGGATTTTGACTGGCAGTTAAAGGTGAGAGTGTGTCTTTGATATTCTTTGAAATAAATGTTCTGCAACAGAGAAGTAACTTGATACACTCCCATTAGGCCTGCTCCCTCTGCAGAGCGGTTTGATTTTTGTAAGTAGTGCAAAAGCATGTTAATGGCTGATGCAAAAACACATCAAAGTCTTGCCAGAAACTTGAAAATGTAAATTTTAAAAATTTCTTTTACTTTGTTTTTCCTTTTTTTCTTTTAAAGCTGCTCAGGGAAACTTGGTGCTCTTCACATAGCACTTGGAACACCTGAAAGTTTTGTATGCTGTTATGATTTTGAGGCCTGAATAAAAAGTGCTTTTTCTCAAAGGAAGAAAAAATACATGCTTAATTTTAAGATGAGTTCACTGATTCAGGATAAGTTTTATTGACTTTCTTCAAATGTTTGTATTTTTGCAATGGACATTTAATAATTAGTTTGAAATAATTTATTATTAGACTTCCTGTTTTGGTAATAAACCAGTGATATTGGAGTTGCCTCAATTAGGATGGTGGTTTGAGGTAATGAAGACCTTAAGCTCAATCAAAGACTTAAAAACATTACTTACACTGTTCATATTTTTGCTTAGACTGTGAGAGCTGTTAAACAGATATGCAGAGTTGTTAAATAGTTTTCCGTGTTTACAAGAGTGCTCGATAGTTTCTGCAGCAAACACCTTTGGAAATCAACGAACAATGCCCCAAACAGACAAGTTTTTGCAAGAGCAGATGTGGCATCATCATGTACTTTAGATGAACTGTTACTGGGCTTGATCTCCTGCTAACTGCATTTACTGCTAACAAAAATATGGCCATATGTGAACTCTTGTATTTTGTTTGTAGCTTCTTTTAAATTTTTCGTCTAGAGAAATTTTTGAATTTCTTTCTATTTTGTGATGCAGTTTCTGGTACATGTCTGAGCTATTATTTTGCTTATGACCACTTTTTTCCCCCTTGAGCTGTAATAATTTTTTATTTCGCTTGCCATGATTAAACTCTTCTGTATTCTGTTCTAAAGATTGGTCTGTACAATACTAACCTATAGTACTGTCAACTGATCTTTGATTTTAATGCATTTTAAAAGCCTTATCTATGCCAGAGTGAGTATCGTAGTCAATAAAAAAGAAAGCACAATTGGCATGTAACCTTCATCAGTGTTTGTCTAATAGGATATCTGACAATATGTTTTGAAAATGCATATGTGACAATATCTGACAATATGTGTTGAAAAATGCATAAAGGTCTCCTCCTTCTCCCAACAAGCCCAGTCTGTAAGACCCTTCTTGCTGATTAGAAGACCTATTTGAATATGGTAATTTTGGAATCTAAGTAATTAATATAGAGTCATGATCAAATGTATCCTTTGTTTTCACCTAGAATACCAAAATGTGGTAGCCCAGAATTTTAACAAATTGGTTTTGGCAAGTGTATATGACACTTTCAAGTCTGTGAAGAGGGTGATCTTTATTCAATATATTTTTGATACTAACAAACAAAAATTCCAGTATTGGACGAAAAAACCCTGAAAACGGAAGAGATGACTTCTTTGAAGTTAATATTGTCCTGCTGATGTTTGTTCTGGTATTACAAGTACAGATGTGATAGTATGAAAGACTAAAAATTTAATGGCTCCATCTTATACTTATTGTTGTTGTGTCAATCTGCATAGCTTGCTCTCTCCAGTGATAAGATCTCCATGCTGCAAATGCCACTCCTCAATCTTGATTTGGATGTGAGAGAGAATGGTGAAATTAAGCCAATTTCTATAGAGATGAATAAGGAAGAGTTGCAGAACCTAATAAATGCACTGGAAGCTGCTAATAAGGTAACTTTTACTGATTAATCTTTTATTCCTGACTTGTTAGATACTGATTTATTTTTAGCAGAATTTATAGAATCAGAATGGTTTGGGTCAAAAAGGATCTGTAAAGGTTGTCTAGTCTAAGCTCACTGCCATGAGCAGGGGCATTGTTGACTAGGTCAGGTTGCTTAGAACTACTACTCCAGCCTGACTGAGGGGTGGGGCATCTGTGTCCAGAGTTTCACCACACTAATTTTAAAGTACTTCTTCCTAATACCTAGACTAAATCTAATTAATTTAATATGATTACCCTTATCCTATGCTGAAAGATTGGTGAGAACACCCGTGTTTCCCTCAGCTTCACAAAATGTCTGTGTCTGGGAGAGTTATTTGGTTCATATTAAGTTCTTTAATTTCCATGGCATAGTGAATCAGGAAGAAAGTTAAAAAGATTACAGTGTAGTGACCCAAGAAGAGAATTTCAAGTGAAGCTATAAGGCTTCTGAGACACTGAAGGGTCTCAGATTTCTTAATAGAAAAGGCTAAGGAAAATGACAGTTTGAAGAAAATTGTGTTTACATGAAATTATAGCCCTTAAGAGCTTTCACGCCTTGCTTCCTTGTGGATTTTCTTCCCTGTAAATGAAATAAAAATAGTACATGAGCAAGGATTCTTCCAGGACAGACTTCAGTGTTCACATGCTCTTTGTTCTGCTTGAGGGAAGCTGTGGGATGTGGTCATCTCCATACTTCTGTGAGCACACGAGAATGAATTAACTTGGACTTGGCTCTGGTTTGTGCAGAAGGAATCTCACTGGACCTGGATTTGCTATTCTGCTTTTTGATTACAGGCATCTGAAGAATGGTTTGAGTGCAGTAAAGGGTAAAGAGAGTTATTTTAAGTGATAGTTTTGTGAGATTGTAAAAAAGAGTTGAGAGAGGAATGATGTGTTGTCCAAAGGAAAGATGCTTATTCACAGTTGCATGTTATACCAAAACAGAAAGCAAAAGGCTTCTTTTCATAGGCTACTTAAATTTTGTTCTTAACCAGCTTTAATCTCATTCCTTTTCTCCTTTTTGAAGGTTGTCTTACAACTGAAATGATGGAATTCAGATCAGTATCTGCTGGTGGTGGCTCCCTGAATGATTTGCGGGAAAATGTGTTTGCTGCAAAGTGGAAAGGTTTTGGTGCTGTAAAATACTGAAGTCAGAACAGTGTTATGACCAAATGAACTACTAATCCTTCAATAAATATAATAAATTCTTGTATCTATTTGACCAAAGATATGAAAACCTAATGTACAGTTGCTTTTAGTACTAAAGATTTATAGACATTCGGAAGAAAATCACTTACAACATGTGCCATATTTGTTTTTGTAAAATTTTGGCAGTGACTGCACAGGTGCCTGGTAAAACTAAGGCATCTTGCTGGCATTGTATGTTACCTTATCTAAAGTGCCATGCTAATAAAGAACGAGAGTGTATTTGTAGCATTAATGTATTTAAACTTGTAAATATGGTAAATAAATACCTGACTTTGTGTGTGAATAATTGTAGTAGGCTGTTTTTTGATGTATGAATCACTGAACTCATTCTTATTAGATGTTAGGGAAAATCACCTTTAAAAACAAAGCCAGTGTAGAATGAAAGAACAGTTGAGGTTGGATGTGAGCTCTTTGAGGTTGTCTTGTTCAGCTTCATTTGCTCAAACACGGCAACCTAGAGCAGAATGTCCAGGCCTGTCTCCTGAATGTTTCTCCGTGATTTAGGCACCACAATTTCTCTAGGCACCGTTTGGTGCTCAGAAGTTGTAGAAAAAGCACTGCAGCTTTATTCAGAGTAAAGTAGTAGTTTTTAGCTTAGTTTTTGTATCTTAGTTGGTAGCTTTTCAATTAAAAATATTAATGTTTTCAGAAGGGGGTGCAGTGCTGGAGGGGAGCTGACCTATATAGACTATGAGAAAGATATTCCTAGCTCACTTAATACAGAAGATAATTTGTAAATTCTACTCTAAACTTTTCTGAAACCAGATGGAGTTTTGATTGTAGTATGTAACAAAAGTTAAAAGCAGTAACACTAGGGAAGAGTACACCAGAAATTTATGGTTTCTACTATTTATTAGACCATTTTTCCGTATGTGAAGAGCAAATGATCTGTAATGCTTACATGAATGCAGATGCGTGGTTCTCATTATGTGCATGTGTGTGTCTTAGGCAAGTCTTGTATAAATAATAAGGAAAATAATTGAATACTTTATTCCAAGTTTTGAAATGAGGATCTTGAGTTTATTCCACTGTATTTTGTTGTGCCGTGGGTTTTCATATACGCAAAGTTTCATACACTAATATAAAATAATGGACTTCAGAGTACTGGTCACAGAAGAAGAGGACAAGAAGCTCTTGTAGAAAGGCTTCTATAAAAAGGATTTTAATGGGTTTAATAAATAGGAAACATAAATATATTCTCTTTTATTTGGTCCTGATACATTTAATTAGATATACATGTTCAGTGTCAGCAATTGAAGAATGAAGAAGTGTGGAGAAGTGGGTAAAGAGTTGTAAAGATGAAAGAGTGGGAGATGTATCTTACTGAAAGGAGTGCAACCTCTAACAAATATGGCTTGATCATAGTCTTGAATTTCCATAAGCAACAAATTTCATAATGGATCAAATAAAAGATAAAGGATTTGTATAAATGGCTCAAAATTCAAATCAGGTTGGAATTGATCATTGTTTAATTTTATTAAAAATCTGGAAAGAGTTACTGCAGGTTGTCCAGCTGAGTGTTAGGAGGATGCTGTTTTTTCTCATAGTGAGTGTAAGGAATAAAAGTACCAAGTCTCTTTATTTTATTTACAGGTATATTTGTGGTGACTATGTTTTTTCCTTTCTTCTAGATCTAGTTGCTTTACAGGAGAATATGGCCTTATGTGCTCAAACGCTCCATGCATTGTATGATGCATGTCTGAAGGTATAACTTGCTCATGTGATGGGCATGTATTGCTGAAAGGCTTTCCTAGAGAAAAGAAGTTTATTTTTTGTTTTTATTGTTGCCATGCTGTTTTTTATCATTTAGGACAAAAGGACTGGAAACTTTTATTTATAGTTGCAGATTTAATAACAGCAATTTATTTTGTAAAAGGGTAAACTATCATTGGGGATGTCATTTGGATAGAAGAAACTTGTGTGATGATGTACTCATACAGTTTATAGATGTACTGTGAAACAAAAAAAACCCATACCTAGAAAGGCTGTACTTCAGTGAAAGGTGGATATTTAAAACAAATTTTTACTGTGTTGCTGAAGTGAACTTTTGTGTTGCTGAAGTGAACTTCTGTGTTGCTGAACTTCTGTGTTGCTACCTCTTAGTTTTTAAGATCAACCATTCAAAAATACAAAATAGTGGTATTTTCTCAACAACAAAAGGCCACAAATAATAACTTCAATTTTTATGTACAAACAGTGAAACTTCTGTTGCAGAATCTGCTACAGATGCTACTTCCAATATTTGTGACTTTTTCTTATAGTAGTCTTAAGTGTTTACATAGCTTCATTTAAAATTCTCCGGTAACTTACGTAATAATGGATTTCTAATTACAGGTATGTAGTGGTGTTCAGTTTATAGTATCATCTTATATTTGTCTGTCCTTTACTGCAGCACTGAACAGAAAACACTAAAAAAAAATATTTTTTTTTTTGTTTAACAAGTTTAACAGTGGTTTTTTTTGCTTCAACAAGAAGACAGGTTTCTGATAGTGCTGTTGTTGACAGGAATAAATGTGCAATGAGATGCTTTTTTTAATATGTGTTAGACTTTATTGAAAATCTGAGTATTTTTAATATAACCATCAAAATTATATTTTTAATAGGGGGCATAACAACACAGTGTGAATGGCTAGAGGGGGACAGGAGCTCCAGTTGACAAGCAGTTGAGAAGCAGCAGCTAAAACACAGCATTGCATTTGAAACGTGCATCTTGACCTTACATCTTACATCTCTACAGGTAAATGTAAGGCACATAATGGCCTCCAGCAGATGGCAAGGAGAAGGACTAGAAAGAATGGAGAAGAAATGGAGAACAGAGCTTGCTCTTTGTACTGTCTTTCAGATTTTAATTTTTTTTTCCTCTTGCTCAGAGAATTAGGTACTTCTGGAACAAGCAAGGTCTCCTGTTGTGACAGATAAGGCCTTTTTGGAGACTGTACCAGACCAGATTAATGAAAAAGCTAGAGCTTTCACAAGACCCATTACACTGGTGTCATCTTCAGTTACACTTTGCTGAATGCAGGTAGACATGAGTGGGTAGCAAATAGGACAAACCTGCACAGGACAAAAGCATGTGAAACAAGCTCATGGCCAGGAGCACATCTTGAGGAGAGTTTATGGTGTGAGGAGCCCCACTGACAAAGAAACTTGGGCCTGTAGCTAAGAATTAGGCCAAAGGTGTGAGAGTTTAAAGAGACCCCATTAGCTTTAAAGAACTGAATTTTGTCCTTGTTTTTCTTCTCTATTTGCCTAGATCTGTATTTTCCTGCATTCTTCCATGTGTGAGCTCAATCTAATTAACTGGCTACAGCATATGGGTTACTTTTGGAGTTTACACATCCCACCACACTAACTGGAAGTATTGTTCCTAGGAGATGCTGCCCCTTTGGCCCAATTCTAGAACAGGGGTTCCTATTCTCCCAGTCCTTACCTGGCAGAGCAGCTCTCTTCTGGCTCCTGCAGTGGCATGGGCAGAAAGCCCCCAACTAACCATCATAAATATGTTCAAGAAATCTCTCTGGTTTTGCAAGTATTAAGGAGAGATCTCTTGAGTATGTAATTTACACCAGAAACAAAACTTTGCACAGGAGGCTTTTTGAACAAAAAGCTAATGAAATCAGTACCTACAATACAATGGACACACTACAGGAAGTTTTAATTTCACCACCTAAAAAGCACCTACAGAAATTCACACTGCATAAACAGATGTGCAATTTGAATCAGAAAATCAGCATATCTTGATACAAAACATAAAAGTGAATTATAAAAATAATATTACTTGCCCTCTGCTGATGTTCATTGCACTTTTCTTTGTTTCACAGAAATCTTTTCTTGGTTTCAGAAAAACTTTTTTTTTTTCATATCAGCCATGTCAGCTTTGATCTTGGTATGCTAAAGGACCAGAACTGCATATGAACAGCAAACTGTCAGTATGGAATTGACAATTGTTATAAAACTGCTTTTGCAACAAAGCAATTATAAATGTCAAGAAGCTGTGTTTTTAAAAGATCTAAATAAGTCTGTAGAACATTACTGAGTTCTGAAGCATGGGAACATGTTGAAACATAATTATGCTTTCTTCTGAAAGGTGGTTTTAAGAACCAGTAACACCCTATCCTGAAATATGCACATTTTGCTATCATTCTGATTTGTGAATTAATATTTATAATGCAGTATCAGCAGTAAAGGGATTTTTTACTCTTTTAGTACTAAAAAATGCTTTCATAAGCATAAGCTTTCATAAGTGTATCAAGATAGTCCATAATGTTTTTTTTTGTCCTTCTTTAAATCAACCTCAATTACCTTTAGTAGTATGCATTCCTTCCTCTGTAAAATTTTAGTTCATACCTGCTTTAGGCCTTATTCAGAAAGACCAAATGACTCCCACCAAAACCTGGAAAAGGAAGCAAATATCACGAAGATTCATTCTTTGGAATTTTGCAGGCCTTTGTGGAGAGTACTACATAGAGAAGCGTATTTTTAACCATTAGGTTATTCAGCTAGTTTAGCTAATAGAGTAATAAAAGGCACTGGAAGATGTGGGGATTTTTCTAACTAGGAACTGCTGCAGGTCCACAGGGACTGCTTTGGTGATGGACTATCTGTGGGGAGGATTCCTAGCATCGTATGGATGAAATAAATTTTTTGATGGCCTACAGTAATTTTTTTGGGGGAGGGTGAAGGCAGAGGTTTCAGATCTGTCCTATTTCTGTTGATATTGTTTTAAATGGGAGCCACAGCAATGTTGGATCATCTAATGAGAACTGCTATTAACTTCCTTTGTAAAACCCAATTCTGAATTCTTTACCTATGCCAAAGTCTCATTCAGCTTTCTTGAAATGATGATTTGCCTGATTGTTTCAGAATGTTATCTATAGTGTACAACATCCAAAGTTTCTTCTGAAAATATAAAAAAAATCAGGTAATATGTTGTCAGCTAGATCAAAACAGCAAATGACATTTCAGAGATAGGAGCAAGGAGACTGGTTTGTTCACAGATGTGAATGAGATGGCTGACGTTCTCACTGAAAGGCATGATCTGCTAAAGGAAACCATCTTTATTACTTTTCTGGCAGTGTGATTGATTCTATACTTTTGCATGAGACTGTGCAGGTACAGAGAGCCAGGGATGAGTTAAAAGAAATTGGTCAGAGATGATCTCTAGCAATATGACATGTTTCTGCTGCCATATAATTCTTTTAGTTCCATATGCAATTGGACTTTGCAAAAAGAAAAAAAAAAACAAACCAGTAAAAGAGTGAGTTCCAGGCCATTTCTTAGACTGGCACCAGCATGAGACATGAAGGGATGTTTTTATAATTCTTTGGGACTCAAGATTACTTACAAAATAATTGAGAAATACACATGTCAAGGAGCAAACAACATCATTAGATTTAATTCTGTGCTCCAAGGCAGCCAGTAGACCAAAGTCACATGGTGTTGTTTTAAGAAATGCCAGCTTTTTTATTTGTCACTTAATTCTTTCAGTCTGTGCATATACATTTTGGCTTTATTACATGCTGAAATTCATTATTCTTGTGTAATCTCTTGCCTTCCTTGGGCTGCAGGGTGATTGGTTGCCCAAGGAGGTAGGAGGAAATGCACAGTCACAGATGTGGGGAGGTTATGCTTTATAATAAAGAAACTATTTTTAAAGAATTTTTTTTCATAACAGATATAATCCAGCTTTTTTTTACTAATACGCACAAGGACGTGTTAGCAATGCATCCTCAATATGTGAGAATTTATAGGAACAGGCTCCTTGGTGATGGGAAACATGGCCCTCAGGCCCTAGGTGCCTTTCCTCATGATTTATGTCAAGAAATCTTCCACTTCCAGTACAATGGGAAGGAACATTTCCTGTAAGGGTGAACTACGTGGACCAGCAGATATTCTGAAATTGCAATCTCTGTGCTGTTCAGTGGTAGCATAAAGCAATGTAATGTCAAAAATATTCCTATTTCACTGAAAAAGACTGTTTTTTGTGTCTAATAAGGCTGGAGTTCATCAAGCTTCTTTCTGCCAGTGAGGAGGGGTGGATTAATGTGAGCTTTGTCCTCTGCTGAGCTAGCTGCTTTGTTGAAACTTGTAGGAATGTAGGATCTCAGTTCCTTACTGTTCTTTTCACTTTTGGTTGAAATTCTCAATGGTTTCAGATATTGTTGGGAGACTCCCAGGTAGGCACACAAATATACATGCTCAGGGACAGTAGAAACTCAATGCCTCAGGAAACTGAGCCAAAAACAACTTCCAGCAGAAATTGCATGAGAGCTGCACAGACTGCATGGGCATTTAGCTAAAACCTAATTAGCAATAGGACCTTACCTGTGCTGATCTTGAAGTCTGGTTCCTCAGGGTAGGGAAACTACTGAAGTTCAGCTGAGAGGAAACTTAGCATTACAGCATTATTCACCTTTATTACATAAAGCCAGCCAAGTTACTCCAACTTATTGATGGGAAGAGATAGTGTTTCTTTTGCGCTCCATAATTTGTAGCTCCAGATGGCATGTATCTGGGTAACCCATAAATGGGCTGATTTTGCTATGCCATGCCACTAATAACCACTGACTTTTCCTTGCTGTCAAGCTATTGCTCTCAGGTGAGAAATGTTTTCTTCTGCATTTTTCTATAGAAGTAGTTTACCTACAGTTAGTTGCTCTTGCCTCTGTATATGATGGGTTATTAGTCCCTGCTGCCAAACTTTGCACCAAGAGCTGGCAGCTGTTTCCTAACTCAAGGCTGTAGCTTCCAGCTCTTGATGCAGACAGGCCTTGGTGTGCGCTGCTCAAAATGGACTGTGGGGCTGGGATTTGGATAGGCATGTGTTCAGTGTCTCTGGGGGCAGAAAGGTAGATCCTCCTATTTTGAAGCATGCTGTTCTTAAGGAGTTTTGCCTGTGCCCTGCTATTGTTTTGTTAGTGGCTTTTACTCTGCTCCACAAATTTTTTTTTTACTTGAAACTGTACAATGTAACTGATTTTAGTCCATGTACCTATAAGAAAAATATGTGTATGCAGCTGTTAGGGGTCTGCAAAAGAAATGCTGAAGACCAGTAAAGCTGATCTATGCCCTTGTAATAAAAAACAAAGGATCCTTTTTGTTTAAACCTAAAGTCTTTTTTTGATGCCATGTTGAATGTTGGCTCTTCTAAAACATTCACTGCAGCTGTAAGGAGAGGTTGCAGTATCTCTTCACCACTGGATCAGCTGGACTTAATTACTTACCTGAGGTCTGTATGTGAATATCTTTGGGAAACTAGGTAATGCAAAACATGAATCACTGATGGTTGTTATATTTTACAATACAAATCTGCAGACTGCATTACTTTCTTTGAAATATTTTCTTTGAATTAATTTTTGTGTAAGTACAAAGCAGGCGAATTCAATGGCTCATGAACTTACTCTGTTAAGTCTCATGCCAGTTCAAAGAATTCAAAACTATTTAATGGTATATGTGTTTACAATGGACTGCACATATGGTTCTACTGCTGTCTCCCTCCTGGTGCTATTTTTTGCAGTTTTGGAAAGTTCAGTTCACAAGACTTCCTTATGTTCTCTGTATTCTTTATTTTACAATACCAAAATAATATTGTTAATTTCCGCTGACATATTCTTGATATAAACATTATTTAACTGTAATTACTTAACTGTAATCATCAAACTGTCCCAAGTGAGATTCTTGTTTAAAAATTATTTTGAGTTGTTTCAAGGAGAGGGTAGGCATACATAGCCTATTCAGAAGAGCCATTTGTCTGAATTAATATTTGTCCTAAATCACCTCAAGTTGTTCTTAGTGGCTGGTTTATCTTGTAGGATTGTGCAACTCTGTAGTAGACTGGAGGTTAAAGGTTGTAGCGCAGAGGAGACCACCATTGTGTTCCGCTGAACTTAGGATGAGACCGGGGCTTTGGAGGCCACAAAAAAATGGATAGTTTCAAAGACTCCCTTAGATTAGCAATGCCAAATTCCTGGTTTGCAGCTTATAACTTTTATAGTGAGTCAATTAAACCTATTCCCTTTCTTCTTTGGTGATTCTCTGGTTCTACCTCATTCTACAGAAGCCTCCTGCGCAAACAAAAGGAAGGGGCTGCAGGCCCTGGTCTGTGAGCAGGTTCAATTTCACAATGTGACAAACAATAACATGTAGGAGGGTTTAATTTATTATTATGTTCTGATTAAAGAGATTGCAATGCCACTTGGCAATAAGGTCATCAGCTGTCCTTACTGCCAGGCAGTGAGGAACTACTGAAGAAGTTTTCCACATAGCTTTTTTATTTGTATCCTCAGCAATGTTTCTTTCTGTACCAGCTTCCATTGATAACACCACCTCAGTACCTAGACAGATTCTGTTGGCTTGTATATCTTGGCTCTCCTAAAGTATGAAACACTTGTAATACAAAAAGAAATTAACTGATTATTGTTTCAATAAAATGCTATGTTAGGCAATATAGTGTCATTGCTGTTAGGAAACAATTGAAAATAGAGAAGGAAAATTGATTTAATATAGATATAAGATGACTGACCTATTGGTTCTCAGTTGCATGGACGTTGCTAGCCCTTTGCCTGTGGCTCCTTGGTGGGTGTTGTGTCAGGCAATAGGCAGCCAGGTAAGAAGAGGCAGCTCCTCAGGAGGAGTACACCCGGCATTGCCAGTGTGCCCTAAGACTCAGCTGCATCTCCTGGTTCTCAGTGGAATAAAGCAATCTGAAGGAAACTGTGTGCAAAAATTTCCTCAGATCTGTTCCCAGAGATCTACCAACTTTTGGGAGTATGTTGCAATTGCCAACCACAGGAAACCTGGGCATTAAGAAAAATCTTGGTCTGGAGTATCCCACAGAGTTGCTTCAAGGAAACAACATGTGTGGTGTGTTTTTAATACAAAATTACATATGGCACAACTGTTCTCATAAATATAAACTTTGCTACTTTGTGGAAATAACTGAATTCCATTGAGATGTAATCAGCTGATTCCTTGCTTGGATACTCAGTGGGATTTTCCTCTGCTATCCTTTATTTCTTTTGAAGATGTCTGTCTATGAAAATGTTATTTGACCTCTCCTTGAGTGATACTTCTCAAATGCACTATGGAAATACTTCCCAGTAAAGCTATTAGGTTTGAAATGAAGCATGGTGCAATAGTTATAATCCTTTAAACTGTAATTTCTTCAAATTTCTCTACACTCTAAATGGGGAAAGACAGTGACATAGATACTACTAGTAGTTTGACTGTGTTGTTTGGAAGCATGCTGGTGTGAGCTGCCAATATGTGATAAGAAATACAGTGGGAAAAATTTCCACTTAAAAAAAAATTCAATTTGGCACAGAAAGGTCATGGGTGATGCATAAACTTTGTAAAAATCAAGATAGAGCAATTTTCTCAAAATGCTCCTTACGAGCTGATCTGAACTGTTTTGATCTAAATATTGCGACCCTGGATTTGTGTTGGGTTGTTGTTTATTTTAAAAAGCTTAAATCTAGAAGTGTTCTATGGTGGAGTATCTTATGTTGAACATGGAACGTTACAGCTACTGCAGTTCTTCAGTTAATGAAATTGAGAAGCAAAAGAAACAAGTCTTATTATGTTAGTCTGTGGTAACATTATTGCATAACTTAGTGGACATAATACAGCCAGTAAGCAACATTAAAAAGAATAAACATGATGGGAAAGACCATTCTGGACCACTTGTCTATCAGGTTAACATCAGTCAAATCAGGGATTTTGACTTTGATCTGGGATGCCCTCCTGCGTAAGTGTCCTTTTTTATGGAGCCTGTGCCTGTCCAGAGCACTCCTGTTGTAGAGGTCTCTGCTGGAAGTGGCTCTTCTGTACTGCAGGCTGGCACTGTCGTACGTGTACGTGGTGGCTTGGGGGCCATGGAGGCTCGTGAACACCTCTGAGCTGCAAATGTTATTTCGTAGTTCAAGTGGTCCCAGAAGCATGTTCCCATGGGCATCCACCTGTGTCAAGGGAGGAACGGGGATTAGACAAGCTCCTCAGCCAGCCCAAGGTGTTTCCCAGATGGCCCTTGTGGCTCAGGGTGCTCCTGGAGCTGCAGTGACAGTCCTGTCTGCTACAGCATTCACAAAAGTGAAAATATAGTGAATACACTTTCCTGACTAGTGTGAAATTAGCTATTCAACATCTAAGCACCTTCTATCCTTACTTGGCTCCTTGGTCTTGTAATTCAGTTAATTGTCTCATCCTCTTTGAAGTAAGACTTTTGTAATTTTATCTTTTACTTGGACCATGACCTTTATGAAATAATGATTTTTAAAATCTGGTGACTGGTACCTGAAGCTTTCACATACTTGAGATGAAAAGAAAATGTTGCTGTCACTGCCCATTTTAAACAGTTTTTGACTATTTTAGTGCTGCAAGTTAGTTTCTAGAAGTTTTTAACAATGGGTTCATCATATGAAGAGCATGTAGATACACATGTATTTTACCAGTTATTGTAAAATACTTGTGGTGAGAATTGAATTTGGGCAATTACTATATTACAGGGATGCAATCATAGTACATTAACTTGTTTGTATGCAGCTAGAATAATCCATTTTATTCAATGAAAACTTATATTCAGTTGCCTTTTTATGTTTTAGTACCAGAAGCAGCTGTTTCCAATATGTTTGTCCCTTTGTGTTATTAGTCAAAGCACTGTTTTAAATACCTAAGCAAAGAACTGGAAACTGCAACCAGTATGTACATGTCTGGCACAAACAATTATATATATTTAAATATTAAATATTTTTGTATCATTGTCTTCTCGTGTATAAGTGTAATTAACCATTAATTGCTGCATTGCTGTGAAGTATTCTTGTTTTCACAAATCTTTAGTTTTCTACACATTTGTAGTAAAACCTCTTTTGAAAAGTTTTTGTGGTATTTCCAGGTTAACTTCTGATTTATCCACAAATACTTAATAGATGTTTCAAATTCACAGATATTTAAACATCCAATGTAGCTCATATGAGAGAAATATACATCTGAACACTGGCCTCTTAAATGAAACTTAGAGGTCTTTACCTCGAGGCTTGAATATTAAATGTTGCTTTTGGTAAACTGTGGTATTGGACCTATCCCAAATTTGTAACAAACTCGATCATGTCTGTGGATGCTTTTATATCAGTGAGTAATTCATTAATTATAGACAATAGCTAGTTTTGTGAAGCACCATTGATATGCAGTGCTTTGTTTGTACTCTAAGCTTTACATTTTTAGTAAGACATAGCAGAGCTAGGAAATGATGTAATAATCTACAGCAGATTTGAAGTATGTGCAAGAAAAAATTCCAAAGAAAACACACAGGGAAACCTAGTTTTTGTGGGTTGGTGCAAAAGAAAGATAGACCAAATAAAGTTTCACTTCCACCTGGCAATGGGGAAGATGTTCCTTCCCATCATCAGGAGAAATCTTTACATCATTAATGACAGCATATTTGCACTGTGCCAGACTAAGCACTTACTAACTGAAAGCAAAGCAGTGAAGGGACTATTTGTACAAAAGTCACACGAGAACTGTGGGGTAAAAAAGCTTTCTGAGTGAAGTAATAAGGTGTTTCAAATGTTTGCTTGAGATATGGGCTAGCCAATTCATACTTTTTAGGTCAGTTCTTCAAATTTAAGAAGGAAGATTTAAGCTAGGGTCTCCTACTCTCCAGAGGACTGGTGTAACTATGGGACTATTAATTTACTCTGAAGATCTGACATGTTTTCTGTGGAAAAAATCCAGTGATCTCAGAGTTGTCTCTGGTAAAAAAGAGATTTTCTTTTAGTGCTCATAAGTTTTGATAGGTCAATATTTTCAGTTTTATGAAATAGCTCTTTGAGCTGTCTTTGATTACATAATCTAACGTGGAAGTTAATTGACTTCAGTGTTATAATAATAGTAACACTAATGCAAGTATTATTAAGCAGTTATTATGATTTTTCTTTTGGGAAGAAAGCTTGTAGCTGTCTACATCTGAAGTGATTCAGAGGGATCTTTCTTAAACTAATATATCCTGACAATTTGTTATGAGCCAAACAGTGCCTGAATTCCTGCTCTAAGCATTCTGAATGAACCTGGTTTTTTTTTAATGAATTTAATTTAAACCATTTTAGGCAGGATGATTTGTATGTCATGAAGCAAGTTGGTCTTTGAATTGCAATCTTTGCAATTCAGAACCAAGAGCCTTACACTAATCTTGACTAAATTAGCTCATGGAAGTATAGAAGATTTTCTTATGTACCTGGTCAAATGCTCTGTGCAATTTCCCACATCATTATAAACCCTTTCAGTATATTTTGAAGCTCACTGCAAAGTATTAAGACTTGTGCAGCTGATCTCCTGTTGCTGAGCCAACAACTGTGCTGAAATTGTTCTCCTCAGATGAACTTGGTTAATTTAAATCTAATTGTAATACTATCTTCTTACCTTTACTAATTCCCACACTAACTCACACCTCCAGCCAAGGTGTGACAACCCTTCACTGGGCATGGGCTCCATATTTTATTGACTCTTAAGGGTGAAGTGAGAGAATTCTACACCAATCAGTAACAAAGGTGTCTGTGACTAGAGCCACTCAAGTTCCATGTAAATGTAAAGGAACAGAAAACAAGGAAGTTGAGAATGGGGAAAAGTCAGGTAAGACTCCATTGTAACTACTGGCATTGGTTGATGGGGTGAGCCTGTCTTCTACTCCATGGGGATGCCTACTGGGTAAGGATCACTCTGTGTGGGCTGAATACTTTCACTGGGGATTGAGTTTGTCTGTGTATTGCTTTAAATACGGTCTTGCAGTCAAGTGCTATCACTGGCAATCTTTGAACCTTAACCTGTCACCATTTTTTATTAATAAACAGTGATATTCCATAAGCTGTTAGTGTGAGTCCTTCCCAGGTGCTGGCTGTTACTGGCAGTAGGTAACATCAATAAAGAGGAAGACTCACTAAGGGGTCATAAACTGGGAAGACCTGCTGAGAAATCTTCCGTAGGCTGTCCCTAAGTCAGTCAAATCAGCCTGTGATCCAGCAGTTCAGTGAAGGATCCCCCGAACAGGACACTGACAGACTAACCTCAGCGTTCCTGGGCCACTGACAAGCACTAAGAGTTGAATGTCCTCACACTAAGGGAGATGAAACCTCCTTTTTTCATATGGCACATAGAAAATGAGTTTCCTGCTTAAGAACATAAATTGTTATTGTAACTGTAAAATAGTTGAAGTAATAAAAAGAAAACAACCCAAAGATACAGGCCTGTATTAACTGCATAAAACATAGTCAGACAGCTCTAGGAGAAGTGCATATTAGCCTTCCTTGACAGAGAATGGGTCTCAAATGCTGCTCAATGGCTGCCTGGAATGAATTTGGTTTTTGTTTTTCTTTTTTTGTATTTTTTTTTTTGTTTTTTTTTGTTTTTTACCTTAACTGTTGGGAGATAAAAGGTAAGGATGTCTGTTTTGTCTCAATACAAACCCATTGTTTCTCCTCTTAAGGTGAAAGACTCAGGGCCATGTTGCTCACACAGGTTGTCTCATTGGAACAAATGCTGTAGTGTTACCACAAGCTGATCTGCAAAAAAACAGCTTATGCTCAGCAGGGCTATACTAATTCACAAGGAGATTTACTTGAAGATTAAGATATTTGTGTGGCTATATGCTTCCCTTCTTTTTCTTTTTCCAGTAGCCACTGTATTGGAAAATTGTAAATCTTCCTTGAAGCTTGTGGCTGGTCGCTGGCTTTCTATCTCAACTGTTTAGTGTTTCACAGGATATTTAGAAGGAAAGTGTGATGCTGTGCAGAACTGGGGAGACAATCCATCACTTGTCTTGTGTTGATAAGCCTTTATAAACCTTTTGATGATGTAGCCCCATTCCCACTCACATTATGATTGCATCCTACCTTTTCTTCATACTTAAGAGATATCTTCTATGTAATTACTCTTCATATTATAATTGTCTGGGGAAAGAGAAGCAGTAGCATGCATGGATTATCTAAATATTGTCTTGCTGTTTGGTTTTTCCTATTTATCCATCCATAATTATGGTGATGTCAGTGCCATCTAGCTTTGACAAATGAACAAGGAGATATGAACAGTCTTTATACTTTATTCAGAGAAACAGAAAGATTGTTTGCTACAAATTAATAGTTTTTGTATATTAAAAATAAAAATGGCATAAATTGTGAAGCTGGAGAGACTTAATTTCCATTTTCTTCAGTCTGTAGAGCATGGAACAGCCACCTATGAAGCAGCAGTTCTGTTTCATTTTTCATCTGGTCTTCTCTATACTGTTAATATCGTGGCCAGTTTGCTGAGTGTCGCTCACCCATTGAAAGCTTGTGTTATCTGGTGGAGGAATTTGAACTCTTTTAGTCTTTGGAGTTGTATGTCAGATGGGAATGATCGATACCTTCACCTGGCACAAAGAGATGAAGCACTGTCACATATCTTCTAACAGTTACAGGTCCCTGTATGGACAAGTGGTGTGGGCCAAGAGTAAAAGGGGAAAATGCCCTATAGCTATACATACTTACAGCTGTACTTCTTTTATGCTCAAAAAATGACTTTCCCCTGCTCTGGTGCAGGCATTATTACCAGTGAAAAATCTCAAAAAATGATGGAGAGGGGCTGGGAGCTGTTTCAGTGGAGGTCACATAACCTTGCTGTGTCCCACTGCTCTGGTCATGTGCACTCTTCCTGCCAAAGACAGAAATACAACTGTTGGAAATCAGCATTTCTGTGCTGAGTAAAATTAATGTTCACAATCTCTCACATCAGTATGTGGAACACAAAATTCACCGATATCCATTCATGTGTGTATTTATGTATATGTGTGCATATATATGTATTTATAATCACAAACCTGCACTGTACAGGAAGAAAGCAGTCTGTTCACTTAAAGCACTCTCATTCTCAGAATGGGATTGCTGTCTGAAGTGTAAGCATCTAGAAATCCTGGTACAAAGCATGTATGACTTCCTTTTTCTATTAGAAAAATGATGCTTTTAAAGCATTGTGGTGCTTTAAAAACTTTCCATCCCATTCTGGGTACGAATCTCAGTGTAATGCTGCATAATATTTGGACAAAAGCTTTTAGTTATGAGTTATGGCATTTTGTTAGTTAAACAAACTTACCAAATACATAGGAGAAGAACTTACCTGCACTCTTATCCTTTACTCAGTTCACTGGGCCACATGTAGCCAAGGCTGACCTCTCAAGAAGTCTTGATTTCCTCTTCATCATGAATCCTTGCTGTGCTGCTTTTCACCTAGGCTGGGCTATCTCAGGAGCTGTTGAGGTAGCTTGTCAGAATTTGTGGGTTATGTTGTTTTTTCCCTTCCTTATTTTCCATAGAAATTGATAGACAATATCTGTGCATGACAATCCATACTGGGGTGGCTTATCTCCTCTGCTCTGTGGAAGGCAGTACTTTGTTGGGTCTTGGAGACTGCTGATTGCCTGAACTGAATTTGTGCCCTCACTGTAATAAGGCATCTCCTACACAATGGGACAGAAGGCAAATGTAAGTAAGAACTTTTAATGGGCTCATGAGTTTACTGAGACTATGATGGCTTTGTTAATGATGCATAGCTGTAGTGGTGGGACACCAAAGACACAGCTCTAGAATTAATAAGATATTACAGAGTTTCTGAAATGCACTTCCTGATGTGTTTGTGACACTGTAGCCAGCTATCAGGATGAAGTCTTGCTTCTTAGAGTTTTATGTGTTGGTCTCGTTCTCAAACTGAACAGAGGGCTCAAATACAGTTCTGTCCAAATGTTATCACCTTAGGCCACAACAGTAAAGAAGTTTATAGGACAGCCTGGGCAAGATCCCATTAATACCTGGATGTAATATATTGTAACTAAAGCACAGGAAGGAAGAAAATTTTTGGCTTGTTAGTATATATATTTTTCTCTGAGTCAGACTGGGCCAAATACACCTGAGGCTTTAAAGGATTTGTTTCTGAAAAACTGGGAAAAAGTGGAACAGATTTATAGATGTTTGCAAGTGCTCAGTGATGTATTGCAAAATTAAACTCATCCTCCTTAAAAATATGTCAACAGTACTACTTCCCAAAAGTTTTCTGGCTTGTTTCTGAAAGAGGGGATAGTTGTGGCGTGCCTGAATTTAGCTGAGGGAAAAATCCTGACATCTATGAAAGCTGTTATAACCTAGCAGCAGCATCCTTGTGTACCTTGAAGGTCAGTGCTAAAGGCTTCATTCAGGGCTCACTGAAGCAACAGAGCTTGCCTATGCACTTTATTTTTGGTGAAGTTTCGGTATGTAAAGAGGGACTTTTATTATAAACATTTCTTCTATACCACATTCTAAAGCAAAAAAAACCCAAAAAAACCCCCAGTTGAAGTGGTAAATATTTAACTTCCTTGTACACCTTGTATTTCTTCTGCAGGAAATACAAAGAAGAAAGAATATGTGTCCTGAATATTCATGTGCATTTTTCTGTGTTTTCTTACTCTGTTTTCAGTTGAAGATGGAACAGACCATGCATTGTTGCAATCTCCTTAAAATACAATTTTTCTCTAGGCAATCTTAAATGCTTTTGCACATGTGTTCTACCTGTATTTATCTCCGTCATCACATAAATGAACATTTTCATAGTAAAAGTAATGTTTGAAAAGATAGCTTGAACATTTTACCTGGACTCTATTTGTTTCCAGTCTGCTCTTCTCTCCTGTAGCATGTCCTGCTCTGCCTGCTGTCTTTTTTTGATGTTGAGGTCCTTTCCCAAAGAATATGTAGTTTACAAAGGCATATTCCAGCAAGGCCAGGAACACAAACACAAAGCACCCCATCAAGTAAATATCTATTGCCTTGACATAGGGAATCTTTGGCAAGGTCTCCCTGAGGTGGGTGCTGATGGTGGTCATGGTCAGCACAGTTGTGATTCCTGCGAAGGAAAGAAACAGACATTGACTAATAAGATGAGGAAGGAGATGGGCTATCTCAGGATAATGGCAGCACTGCACTTCCCATGCAAATGGTGTAATTATGTGATCAGGTTGTTAGCAGCCAAAGGAATATGTTTTGCAGAACTGGAAAGGAACGTATCCTTGCAAATCTGCTGACAGCACCTTCCTTGGCTTTTCGTACAGTGGAGGGTGAATGAAATAACCTTCAAAAGCCCAGGCTGTGTTGGAACTTCTTGCCCTAATTTTTGCAATAGCTGTGCTAGGGAATGTGGTGTTGGCTGACCTGGATAGCAAAAGTTGATTGCTGTTCTTTCTATGTGAGAAAATGCTTCTTACTCAGTTTACAGCAGTAGCTCTGCTTGACCCTATAGGTGACTTGCATTGCTGTGGGGATCTGCAGTAAGTATCTAGCTTTTGATTTAAAATGGAGGATTGAAAGGAGAAAGGGAAGCCTTTGACAAAGTGATGGTCTTTGATGAAGAGAAGGTCATATATATATATGCTTGTACCAAAACAACTTTTCCTGTTAACTAGATGCTTGCAAGTAAAGCATTTCCATCTCATTATGTTATCCACCACTGAGTGACTTTTTTTCCTCATATGTGTTTTTTCTTTTAGCTGGCTGAAATTACTTTTTAGTCTGCATTAATCACAGGTCATTAGTGCATGTAGATAATAGCTCTAGGCACAGGTGTAGTAAGTTTAATTTGCAGGGAGATGGGACAAAATGGCTTTTTGGCTATAGAGTTGAAAAACATATATGCCTTAAAGCACAGACAGTGCAGAAGATCTTCATTCTTATGGAAAGTTGTAGGAAGGAATGTGGTGTGGGAAAGAACTGACTATAGGTAAACCAGACTTATTTGCTGTAAGCTGGTATATCTCCACTGATGTCAGTAGGATCTTGTGTATTCCTTCCAGTCACAAATCTGGTCTTAGAGAAAACTTTTTAACATCAACAAGGACTGCAGCACAGCGTAGATACCCTTAGACACCTGAATTAGACTTTTATGCTCCAGTTTGGAAGCAAGATGCTTTTGGCCTGATCCAAAGACCATTATGACAACAGGAAGTCAGACAGAATCCCAAAGTGCAGAGCAAGAGCTTCAGACGTAGGCAAGGTCACACCTGCCTGCCCTTCCTGACAACCAAGGCCCTGTGCTGCCTGTGTAAGATCACAATTCATGATGCTACAACCAGCAGAATGGATTTGGTGCCGCTGTTTTCAAAGGCAGCAAGTGTCATTTTGAGAAGAACTTACCTAGAGCAACTCTGGCTGCAGAGGCATCATAATTGATCCAAAAAGACACCCATGACAGAATTGTGATCAGCGTGGAAGGCATATAGGTTTGCAAAATGAAGTATCCAATATTTCTTTTAAGCCGGAAGCTAAGTGATAGTCGAGGATATGCCCCTGAAAGAAAGAAGTCATATAACGACTAATGCCTCACAAAAGGTAGGCACTGATATTTCTGGGCTGCAAAAAGAGGGGACAACTTTTTTTAACTTGTCAGTGCTTACCTGTTGTAAATTCCACTCTCTTTGATACCATCTTGTAGTCCACAATAGAAAATTGTGGGAGCTCGATGTTATTAACTCCTGTTACTGCTGACTCTCCTCCATTCCAGTAAAATTCAATATCATCAGTAGTGTATCCATCTGAAACAGAGGCACAATTTGATTATTGACTTTTCTTTTTGTTTTATTACTTTGCTTAAATAGTTGCAGTTCAAGTGGAAGGAGCTGCTGTTAATCAGGAATTCAGCCTTCTGTTGTGTGACATTCCTGTTACACAGAAGCATTCCCCATGCCCCGAGGAAACTTCTAGATGTAGAAGAGGAGAAGACAGAAAACAAGGGCAGAATTCATTATTAAAGTTTGTTTTTAGCTACCTCTAATGCAACTAATTTTCAGTCAGGCTTGAACTTCTCAGTTTGCCAACAGACAGATACATCATCAGCAAAACTTTTAAACTCTCTTTGGAGGAGCTCTGACAGTAAAACCAGGTTCAGTTCCCAGATTTTAATTTGATTTCCTATGCAGGATATGACAAAATAGAGAGTTGGAAACCATTGGAGACAAAGATGATTCTAGAAGAATTAAGGTGCCTGTAGTATCACCTGACAATGTCTGTCAGAGCTGTAGGTAACCCTTTGATATTCATGAAGCATTTTATATTTTAATTAGACCATGCCAACTTTGATCTTCTGTTATCACAGAACTATTTTTTTTTTACTGCAAAACTAGCACCTTTCTTCTGTTTCCTTTTAACAGTGATGTTGATTTTTTATAATGCAATTAAAAATTAATTTGCTATTATATCACTGGAAATGTTAACATTATTGTTACCATTTTCAGAAATATTTTGATTGAACTCAGAAGTGACTGAGTTTCAAAAAAATCTCGCAATTGACAACATTTTTGAACTAATATTTAAACTGGTTCCACTTTATTGCATTTTTCTAATTTCCCCAGATAGCTACCAGAGAAGAGAACATCTCATGTATTTTTAAATTTTTCCTTCAGGTGTTAGATTTAATCAGGTTTAAATCATATAACATGGATCAAATAAAAACACGTGTTTGAACTCAAAGCTTTGAAAAACTTGACAGTACTTTTGCCAGTTGAACCAACTGTAGCCTTAGAAGCTTCCACAGAGTTAGGAACCTATCCTTTCATATGCACAAGTAATGCAATATCAAGCTAAGGAAATTAGTCTTGAGATGTCTTTTCCTGTGATGGTGCTGGGTAAAAGCCTCATCCCTGGAAGGCTGACCACATGCAGAACAGATCCATGGTTTCCCTGGTGACAGTCAGAGAAGCTCTTATGACTTGCTGCCAGGCTCCAGAGATTGCTTGGAAAGTCTGCAGCTATTGAACAGCTATCTTTTGATGCAAACACACAGTGATAGGCTGAGCAAGTTTAAATGTTCACAAATTTTATTTCTGAACTGCTCAGTGTCATGGTGTTTGTCCTTTCAAACCATAACAGTGTTCTAACTATCAGAATTGGCCTGAAAACCACACTAATCTATGTAATTTGGATTGCTGCTACAAGCTTAAAACTGGGGTTCCTATTACTTATGCTATTTTTTTTTTTCAAATTTTTTTTTATTTATTTCCAAATGAACCATTCCAGGGCTGTGACACAGAGCTCTGCATGACTGGTTTTCATTCCTTTTCACTGCAAAAGGTCAAGCTAGCTGCTTGGTAGTGAGACTTCAGCATCTGCTTTAAAGGCTTTGCACACAAACCCCAGGGCTGACATGAGCTACATGTAGGGTGTGACACAGAATGGTTGAAAGTGAATGAAGACTGCTAAGACTGTTTAAAAGATGAAGACTGAGATTGGCAGGAAAGTATTAACTTCATTTTCTTGCAAATCTGTTTTATAAAAACCTTCTCTTGAAGGATTTCTCTTCTCAGAAAAGGTGGTGCAAAACAGATGGCATTGGAACTGTCATCTCATACTGAAAGGGCATTTATTACATGTAGACTTTGTAGCATACAGATATCCTCTACATGAGGTAATACCCATCCTTTGTCTTTAGGGGACAGAATAAAAAACAAAAGGGCCATCACTACCTAGATGTTGAGCACCTACTTGCTGCAAAGTCACAGGTGAAGGTTTAGATGTGAGAATTCTGAACTCTGCCTCAGGAAGAAAACCATGAAAATGATTCTTCTGTTCTGTGCTGTCATCATCTGTTGCCCTTTTCACATCCTGCCCTCCAATTTTTCTCTGATTGTTCTGTTTTCTTGTACAGTGCAGGCTGGGACCTGGGCAGTGAGAGGAACTACCTCCAGTCCTCAAGAGCTCCTGACTTTACTTGCAGTTTCTTAAGGCAGCCACAGCCAGCTTCTCTGCAGTTTCTCTGACATTTTGAGAGAAAAAAAGTAATTGTTTGGCACCTTATAGTTCTACTTTTTGCTTAGTAACCAAAGTCATAGAAAGCAAGACTAGGGGAGAGCACATTGTCTACATTACACAACTCACATCATTTCCTTCTGCACAGATCCAACATGACCGCACAGTGGATCAATAACATGGTGCAATCTTTTTGTAGGAGGTTGTGCCTGTTTTCTTTTTGAAAGCTGCCTTCTGATATCTCAGGTGTTTATTTGACACCTTTGTGGATTTTAACAACTAAATCACTGAAGGTGAATTATTAGTGATTTAGTTGTAGAACTAGTAGGTTATAAAGTCAGTTAACCAAGAAGCAAGAATCTTGCATGTAAGGTATCAGCTGGTGACAAGCTGTCACTGCTGATAGGCCATGTTTTTAATCTCTACAAACTTCCAAATACAACAAAAAGTTGAATGTGAGATACTACTTTTTCTGAATATATCAATTTTTTTTTTCTTGAATTAAAGCTTCTCTAAAGTTGATGGAAATTATGAGAAAGGGATAGTGATGTTTTTCACTCAGGAGCATTCACATTTTTTAGCTCCCTTTAGTAGTTGTGATTTTAGGTACAGTGAACCTCAGTACATTCATTATTTCCCTGGCAGTCATTGTAACATCTCTGCTAAACACTAACAAGGTGTTAATTCTGCCTGCGCAGTCCATTCCCTGACAGGACTGTTACTGTGTGATGCCCTTTCCTTATGTGTTTTGCACATTGTTCTAGGTGTGTGAGAGGCATTGCTTTTCATGGCTGACAATGGCACCCAGGTGCAGGAATTTCACAGGTGTTCGTGTTTCATAGGTGTCAACATGGCTTTTTTTCTAGCAAACAGGAGGAAGACGGCTGCAGGTTAAAGACAGGAATTGATCTCAGCTCTGAACAGTGAGTAGGAGACAGATTGCTCCTTCTCCTTTTTCAAGTGGACAGTAGCTTTAAGCGAGGAGCTAAGACACCTCCAAGTGTGGAGCAGCGCTGACGACTGGCCAGCAGGCGATGGAAACCCCTTATTTTGAGCAGAAAAAAAAAAAAAAAAAAAAAAAAAAAAAAAAAAAAGCTATTTCAGTGATAGGAAAAGTGAGACTTGTCATTGTAGTGGCCGGTGTTAATGTTGGTTTGTTCACCGAACTTATCAGTACTGCCCAGGTACTCGGCAGCTCTTTTGCCATGTAATCCTTTTCCCTCTGCGTACGTATCCGTGACACCAATTTAAATGCATACCTCTGCTTTTGTGACAGGGAGAGCAGCACTCGCAGCGGGACCGTGGTGTCCGAACACGAATTTCACAAGAGTCAGAGATGCCGCGGGCCTGCAGCGTTTCAGCGATGCTGACCAGAGCCGTCACGGGAGAACGGGAGAACGGGAGAACGCCGGAGGTCCCCGGCGGGCGGCTCCGGCAGCGCGCCCCGGGACCACGCGGGGGCGCCCGCGCTCCGCCCTGGGGCCGGGGCCGCCGCGGCCGGGCGGGACCGAGCATGGGATTGAACGGGGGATTGCGCGGAGATTGAACGGGGGATGCGCGGGGAGCCGAACGCGTTTGCTCTCAGCTTCTGCAGCGAGCATGGCCTCATTGCCGTGCTGGCATCCCTAGCAGCTCGCTTAATCAAACAGTTTTCCCAGGAATTCTCCGTGTGGTTTGTTGACTTAAATAATTTTTTTTTTTTAATTTGTTGTGTAATTAATAATGGTCCGTGAAAAAAATTTGTTCTACTTAAGACTTTTTTGTTTGTTTGTTTGTTTTTCTTGGTAGATTCTTTTCCATCTTCAAAACCACTAAAAAACATTTAATTGCCCAGCTCGAGATATAAAACTTCGGCTTCCTAGAAAATACTGTCTAGAAATTAATATACAGCACTTAATCGCCAAATTTTCTTTTTTTTTTTTTTTTTCTTTTCTTTTCTTTTCTTTTCTTTTCTTTTTTTTTTACTCTTAGCATCTGAGAGCTTAAGTGAGAATGCTTGGTCAGAAGTACCGCAGATCTAAAAAGTAACTATATACACACATGGCAAGAAATAGATTATGTATAAATTTCCCTGTTCACAGAAAGAAATACATTAGAAATGTTGCTGATATTGTAATATAGCCAAGTTTAACAGTGTATGGGATGTCACCAGGCTGTTGTATTTTACACTGCAGCACTTCTCAAATATCTCTGGGATAACTGAGGATGTGTGCTACATTCACAACACAAGTAATGGTTCCACTATCATTAGCAATAGAACAGAGATGTCCAAACAGAATCCCTTTTCCTTTCTTATTCTCCAGGGCAGGTTGCTCTGAAACACCCAGCAGCCAGGTCTCTTCCTTCGGATCTAAACAGGGCTTTGCAAAAGGCTACAGCAATTCCATGTGCACAAATTAGCTGGCCCTGGGTAAGGACAGGGTCCTTAGGCTGAGGCTGAGGCTGTACCCCAACCCTCTTCCATTCCTCTTGGGTTGTGGGGTTGTGTCTTTCGTAACAACTTAGTCTTTGTTGCTAAATGTTGTTGAGTTTTTTTGTTACCATTGCTATGATTGTATTCAAACAGGAAGATAATGCATTTCTTCCACAGGCCACCAAGGCAGTCCATACAGTGGTAAGTATATTGTATTATTTAATCTTAAATCTGACGTGAATGGGGCACCACACATCTGAAGATGTGTTTTGGAAATTAGTGTAACTAGTTAACATTAGGTGATAGAAAAGGTTTCCTGCCACTTGTGTTTGAGTGTGTATTTGCATGTATAAGGTATTTTTTTTTCCACTGAGAAAT